TATATATATATATATATATATATATATATATATATATATATATTTCTATATATTAATTATATATATATTAATAATTTCTCTTCTTCTTCTCTTTTCATTAATCTTTAATATTTTCCATGTTTTCTCGATATTTTAAACTTATATATGTATATATGGGTACTTACTGTGCCTCATAGGTACTCCATTATGGAACCATTCTACTCTCATGGCAGGATCTCCAACAGGTATGAGATGGCATTCAAAATGAGCACTTTCACCTTCTTTAAGTCCTGTTAAACTTTGTAATTGTGTAGTAAATTTGGGTTTCTGTCCTTGCAGTTTATCAACACACTCTAAGTTAACAGTTATTTCAGCTTTTCCCCACTTATTGGTAGCTCTACAAGTGTATTCACCACTGTCTTCGATGACAACACCCAGTATTTCAAGCACAACCATCCCGAATGCATGAACGGTGCGAATACGGTGACCTGTTAAAGTTTAAAACATTTGTAAATTGTTTTTAATTGATAGGATTAAGAATGAAACAAAATTTTAAGGCAGAAGAATGAATATAGTTAAGAATGAGTTGGAAAGATTAGAAATTTCCTTTGGTAATATAGACTTTAGTTTGGGTACTCTATTTTGTATTATAAATTCAAATAGGAGACTGTAATGAAAATTACAAACCAAAAGTAAATAAGCTAAAAATTTTCAGGTTATTCATTATTCTATAGATAAATAACATTTTTCTGTTTTTTCTTAAACTTTATCATAGTTTCATAATAAAAATAGAATACTTTTATCTTTTCATAATAAAAATGAGAACTAAAAATGCGAACTTGATGCGTTTTAATAATGAAAGATGAAATTAGATAATTCTTCTATAGCAAAAAAATATTTTTCTGCTTTTAAAAAAAAAGAAAAAATTTTTTTCAGATTTTTTTTTTAACAATAAAAATAAAAACTGTTTTAATTTGTTCTATGGTTAAAAGGTAAAATTATTCATTCTTCTGTCGAAAAAATATATTTTTCTGTTTTCTCTTTTTTTTTGAACTCTTTCATAACTTCGTAATGAAATTGGAATATTTTTATATTTTAGTCATAAAAATAGAAACTGTTTTAATTTGTTATAATAATAAAAATTGAAATCATTCAGTATTTATTATTCGATCAATAAAAAATATTTTCTTGTTTTTTTTAAGAAACTTTTTAAGACTTTTTCATAATTTTGTAATGAAAGTGGAATATTTTTAGCTTTTAAGAATAAAAATAAAAACTTTTTAATTCTTTGTAATTATAGAAGTAAAATTATTCATGTTTTAATTAATAAATTTTACTTAAAAAAAACTCTGTTATTATTTTGTAATAAAATTGGGATATTTTTAACAATAAAAATAAAAACTGGTTTAATTTGTTAGAATAAGAAAAGATGAAAGATATTTTTTTTAATATATGTCACATTTTTGAAATTACATCTCAATCACGTAATGTGTGTAACATTTACTAATTTTCTCGATAAATAAAATCAATGAAAAAGAAACCCAGATAAATTAACGATTTGTTTCTCGCATCAAAATCAAATAAACCCAAATTAGCGTGTAAATTAATGCAAGAAAAATATTTATCTCCAAATCAAGTAAACCCCAAAACATGTTGTACAAATTTATGTAAGGGAAAAAATGTTCCCAGAAAAAAAAGAAAGATATAGTGAATTGTATTATTTAAATACCATCAAAATATTTATCCATAAATACAAATGAAAATGGCTTGATAAAATAAGTTTCTAAAAAGGAGATTTTTTGAAACCAAATGACTTCGACATTGTCAGATGATACTACTACTACTACGAAGAAGAAGAAAAAGTGGTACTTACGTGCTTTGATAGATTTTTTGTTGAAGAACCACTCCACAACCATCGTTTGATCTCCAGCAGGAGCGAGAGTGGCTTCAAAGTGAGCAATATCACCTTCAGTAAGGTTTGTCAAGTTCTGGAAGCGAGATGTAAACACAGGTGGATGACCCTGCTCTTCTGTAGTTGCTAAGTCCGTTGGTCTCAGAAGAGATTCTTCGAGAGTCTGAATGCTCTCCAGACCCTTTTCACCCTCAGGATGAAGCGTGCCTTCGTAAATATTTCCTTTAGCAGCACAGTGAATGGTAGTAGAGGTGAAAGCCTCTCCCATAGCGTTATATGCGCGACATGTGTAAACGCCGCTGTCTCTGGCCCACATATCGGTTGATGCAAGAACCACTTGACCAAAGTCATTGGTCAGTTGGAAGCGTGTACCTGAAGTAAAAGATGGAAGAGTGTTGTTTTATTATAAGTTTTTTTTAGTATAAAACTTTATAGAATAAAGAAGCATTGAAATTTATTTTGAACTAAGTTCAACGACTTACATTAAGTTCACATATCTAATAATGTAAAGCGCTTAATGATTTCGAAAATGGAATAATTCTTTTCATTATTAATGAAATGTATTTCAGTGAAAATGCGCCAAAGCTTGATAATGAATTTTAAATTAAATTTTAGTATTGAAACAATTAATTTTGTAAATTTGTAAACCACTGGTGTTTAAAAAAGTGCTTCAAAATAGATAAAAAAAATTGAGTTTCTGTGTTAAGATATACATTCAATGTTGTAAATATAGATACCAATAGAATAAGTTTCAGGAAAATGTGTCAAAAATTGATGAAAAATGTTTTGCTTGAAATTTAGGTTTTAAGATTATAAGCAGTTCATTTTGTAAATGCGTGAAAGAACAGTAAATATGAGCTATTTAAATATAATATAATTGTTTAGTCTGAATTGGTTTCAGATTATAAATGTTAGTTAAAATCACTTACTTCCTATCTTTAAGCTCCAAGTAACATTTCAATATTTTCAGATAATTGTCAAAATAAATTGATTACTTACAAATTTTAAAATATTATGCATTTATTTCCCCAGTAAAACCTATATTCTGACCGCGCATCACTTTAAACATATTAGCTTATACAGAGCATATAATTTACAGGGCACACTAAAAATATGATAGTTTCTTACCAACGAACAAAGATTTTCCATTAAAGAACCATTCAATGCAAAGTTTAGGATCAGCAGAAGGTTCTACTCTGCAGTCTAGTCTAATACCTTCACTTTCATTAACCGTATACTTTTCTTGTAATGGAACGACAAAGTATGGTTTTGGATATTGCAATTCTTTATCTTCTACATGAGTCTAAAGGAGAAATGATAATTTTTAGTAATAATATCTGTGTTACCGCAACTCATTTTAAACAACACGATACGTATTTATAAATGGTAATAGATAAAATACAACAAATGAAACTTTTGGAAATCGTATTTACTTGGTATTTGGAAAGGTACATTTGTTCAACTTCACGAACTTTAGAAAGACCTTCTTGACCCATAGGATGAGTTGTTCTTTCAATGACATATTCATTATCTAAAATGATATACATTAAAATTGAATGTTATTAAAATATTGTCATTAATTGTATTGTAATAATTAAGAAAGATTTTTTTTCCGAATAATTGAATGTCAAAATTATATCCAGTAGGAAAATAGGACTTATTGGAACTTAAAAGTATCTAAAGTCTTATTTACTTTTCGTGACCCGATAAAGATTTGCTACTTCTTTTCAAGAAACATGATTCTCTTTTCATCTATTCTTAAATGATTATGTGACTACTCTATTTTGTGATACTATTATTATTATTATTATTGTTAGTTACTATTATTACTATTTTGAGTTAAGCATTAACAACAATATATACTTAAGACAATGAAGTTAAATCGATGTATAAATTAAGTCTAACTCAAAATTAATAGTGGACCTCTTGGATCCTGTATTTATCCTAAATAAACCAAGTTCTTAAGAGTTTATTTTGTTAAAACAAAGCTGTAAAACTTCTTTACAAGTTAAAATAATCACATCAAATGTTCTTCATCGAAAACACAAACGTGCTTATAAACAGCCTGCAAACGAAAAGAAAAATTTTGTGCAAAAATTAATGAAGTACCTTTAATAATTTTCAACGATCCAGTCGTAACAGCTTGTCCTTTACTATTGGTAGCTTTACAAGTATAAACTCCAGCATCTTCGGCTAAGGTATGAGAAATATCCAATGTAAGATATCCAAAATCTTTGCTTGCTGTGAATCGTGTAGCTGAAAAGAAATCAATCGAAAATTATGCATTAAACGAAAAATGTATTTTATTAATAGAAAAAACACGAATAATTGTGTGAATTGGTCTTTCAACTGGAGCTACATACCAGCCGGAAGTGGTTTGCCATTGAGCTGAAACTCAATTTTAAGAGTAGGATCCCTGTATGGCTCAATCCTGCATTCGAAATGAGCTGCTTCACCCTCCTTCAATTCAATGTTGTTCAAAGGACTAATGAAAATGGGTTTTTCATATAAAATGTCTTTTTGTTCTGGACCTGTAAGTTGTGTGGATTCAAGCTCTAAGATTTTAGGCAAGCTTTCTGGATGTTGTGATCTATAAATGATGCTTTCGCGATCTGTAAAGGACCAAAAATAGGTTTGTGTAAATATCTGTCTTTTAAGTTTGAGACGAAATTAAAGTAAACATTTAATTCAGTTTTAAGGCTATGCTGAATTTTTTTTAAAGTTTCAATATAATATATTTTAGCAATTAAATTTTGCGTAGTCTAGTTATAAAGCTAGTATACCTTCAACTTTCATTGAGCATGTTGTGATCGCTTCTCCAACTTCATTAACTGCTCGACAGGTGTAAATACCAGAGTCATCTGGTCGAACAGTGACAATGTCCAAAGATACGAGTCCAAAATCACATGTGGTTCGAATTCGTGTGCCTGTAAAGAGAACACATATGTAATTGAAATCAAGTTCAAAGCATAATTTCATAAGAGTTTAAAAGAGAAGCGTTTACCAATAAGCAAGATTTCAAGATTGGTGAAGTAATTTTGTTTGCTAATCTTAGTTCTATTCTATATATTTTACCTTCTTATTAAAGAATTTTACAATCGTAAATTGTGGAAATTTTGAATTCCGCTCGAATTATGATGAAATTTAACGAATTTCCTCGTGTAAATTGACGTTTATTGGACTATACCAAGCAGAAATTATAAATTAGGACTTGTAACAAAAGAGAGTAGCGAAAATCTGTTTAAAGTATTTGAAAGAAAAATGTACAAATACCGGTATGTCATTCACGACATCTAATATTTTTGCAAATGCTTAACATTCAGACAAAAACTTTAATCATTACCCATAATATACATATACATTTTAGAATTCCTCCCAAACATCTAGACAAGAAAAATCGTTACCAAAAATTCAAAGACATCCAAACCAGTTTGATTGCAGAAGCAAAAAGAAGAGAAGTTAAAAGGTGATTATTTGAAACATCTTCTGGTTTCATCTTGCAATTAAACATGTTAAGCTTCTCTTAATTCCATTTTCTCAATAAAGATTCGCTAAATTTCTGTAGTATATCCCTTTATTCCTTGTTTAAGTAGCAAATTTTGATCACCAATAAGCCCACTTCTTCTACTTCATGTTTGGTGAGGAGTAAGTAAGATATATTTAGGGTGGTGATTCCAAAACTCCTTGTGTATAAACACCTAAACTAGATGGCACTTTATGATTTCTTAAGAGTACAGCTTATTACAATATTTTATAGCTAATTACATGAATTCAGAGTAAGGCCCTCTATTGATGCGGAACTTTTAGTAAACAATATAAAATTACTAAATGATGGAAGTCATAAGTAGAAAAAGATTTAGATAAAAAACTTACCACAAACTAAGCTCTTTCCGTTCTTATACCATTCAATTTTTAATTTTTCATCATTGGATGGTTCTACTCGAGCCTCTAAATGAATATATTGTCCTTCAATCAAATTATCATGGCTGACTAAATGTTCAGTAAAGAATGGAGCTCTGGGTTGAGCTGGTTCAGGCTCTGGAGCAGGAGCGGGACCCAATTCAAACTTCTTCAGCTGTATGTAAGCTTCCGGATGTTGGCTTTCTCCCAGCACTCCTCCTCGAGCTATGCAAACAATACACAAATAAATAAAATAAATTTTTAAAAATGTTAAAAAAAGGGAAGGAAAAAAATTATATTAGAGTAACCAACTAAACATATGTTGAGACCAACCGTTTGATAACATTTGTCTTATTGATAGCATTTATCTTTTGATAACATTTGTCTTATTTTCATCGAATTGTCTAATCTTCATAAATTATAGTAATTCCTCAATAAGAATTTCTTCTTGATTCAATAGAAAGAGGAAAAAAAATTTTCGAATCATTAGGGTCATATTTTCGAGATTCTGGCTGCCCCCATATTTTGATGCTCAAAAATCCAAGGCGTCCAAAAAACCCCATGAATAAAGAATGTTTCTGTGACTAGCTTCGAAACTTAAAATATCGTCCCCTCTAATTATTATTAGTTACCATGTTTGAGGTCATCTCTTAGGACTATTAGACTTAACACTAAGTTCGTGAAAATCTGATTATTGGAACAAAAGCAATTCAGGGTGATATCTTTGCTTTTTGCACTGTTTATTCAAAAATGAAAATCGAAGACATGGATTTTTTTACATACTATTTTGCAGAGTAAATTCCTTCCTTAAGTGTTTCTTGTAGAAAACTTTGCAATGAGATTGGGGTTCAATAATTGTAATAAAAATGAGATAAAGTAATCGTAATCAGATTGAGGGACAATACTTGTAATAAGATTGGATGGCAATAATAAATTACCTCTTACAACCATTGATGTTGAAGTTACAGCTTCTCCAGCCTTGTTTACTGCTTTGCACATGTATACCCCAGAATCTTCAGCAATAGTTGAGGCAATGTCGAGTGATACCATTCCAAAATCATGAATATCTCTGAATCTAGAACCTGTAAATTAAAAACATGATTTTTAAACCTACAATTAAGCAAACTTAAAAAATCAGTATTAATTTGAATTACTATATTGAGAAAATAGTTATTTTCTTCCCCTGTTTTCAATAATTTATATGAATGATATCAGACACATGTAGATTGAGAGGAAATAAAAAAAAACTTTAAAAATGTCTCAAAGTGCAAATAAAATGTATAACAGTGAAAATTCAAGCAAGTTCAGATTAATTTTATGCAATACATTTATTTCTAACTTGAACAAAAGTGTCTTAATTGAACTTTTAATTCTTTAAACTCCAGGACATTATTTCTTTTGTTGTAGAAAAACATAACGTTTTTGTTCAGCAATGAGAATTTTGGGCACAAGTCAAAATATTTTATTCTGGGGAATTTTATAAGAAATGGAACTACACATTAGCTAAAGATTGCTTTTTTAATGAAACATGTATATGTTATGATGAAATGTATATGTTATGATGAATTGTATATGTTATGATGAAATGTATATGTTATGATGAAATGTATATGTTATGATGAAACTGGTAAATATCAATATTTGTCAACTACTTAAAGATAAAATATTATTAATGATGACTAAAGTTTTGCTATATTTATATGAAAAAAAATTATATACTTCTCGAATTTATTTTTAATATGCTAGACAAAAAATCGATGAATGATTTGGAGCAATATAGAGATAATCCAGATTTTTCCAAAGGAGATAATTTTGCATTGATATTGTATTCAAATAAAAGCAATGCGTTTCCGGAATTTTTAATTTATAACTACAGACATAGAAATATCTGATAATTTACATGAAAATCATTGTGTTTTCCCCAAAACTGCTCTTAAACCTTAAAATGTGACTAATCATTGCAATGCCCTGGGCCAGTCAGAGTAATTTGTTTTATAAAACTCACCTTGTTTAAGAGCAACTCCATTCACGAACCATTGGATTTTGAGATCAGGATCACCAATGGGTACAACCCGTGCTTCAAAATGAGCTGGCATTCCCTCACCCACCTCAGCTGGTCCATAGAGTGGCTTGATGAACACAGGCTTCTCGAAAGCCTTTTCTGGGGCTTCTGGAAGTGGTGCTTGTTTGTAATTTTCCATCTCCTGTATTTTCTCATAGCCTTCAGGATGATGACTTTGAAGTTCAATGAAAGCTTTTGCTGAAAATGAATTCAGATAGTTCACCAAGTATTCATTTAAAAAAGATTGTTCCTGTGTCAACATTTAACTAGAAGGCTAAAAAATAGTGTCTTTTTTTAGCTGCGTTTGAATTCAGACAAAACAACAGTGAAAGCCAAATATAAAATAATAAATTAGATACAAAGATTTAAAGAAGTAAAAATAACTAAAAATAACTGAAAGTAAAAATAAATCTTCCTTAATGCAAATTAATGGCGGAATATTTATTCAAATTAAGCTTTAAAAAATCTGATTGTTTTATTAATATTATTGGACTATTTTTAACTTTATTAAAATTAACATCATAAGATAGTTTTTAAGATTATTCTGATTAATATTGAGATTATCAAAATTAGAAACATTATTATGATTAACATGAATAAATTCTATTTAGAATTATCTAAGAAGGTATAAAGACAACTACAAACATTTTATTGCAGAGTTTACCAAATACAATTCTGTAATATTCAGCAATTAAAAACACATAAATTTTTAAAATGAGATAATTATTAAATAAAAAAATATCTTCATGCGTCGTGTATCTTTTTTAAAAAAATCAATCGCAATTTTTAATTTGTTAAAGAAATGTAAAAATTTTTTGAATAGATAAAGAAGGAAACAAAATATCAGAGAAAGTATACTCAATTTTTTTTAATGTATCCAAGGGGGGGGGGATTGAGATTTCATCGTTTTATTGCTAAGAATATTGAGATTAAAATTATTAGATTGTTTCAACATTATTAGATTCTTTTTAAGATTATCGAGATTGGCATCATGAAATTGGTTTTAGGATTATTAAGATTAGTATTATAAGATTATTTTTAACATTATTCATAATTGTTTTATTCATTATTATTCAATATATTTACAATGTACCGTTATATAGAAAACGCTATAATCATCAATCTTTTTGTACTTTTGAAGATTTATACTTACTTTGCACTTTTACTGATGCAGTTGTCACTGCTTCCCCTAATTCGTTATGGGCTCGGCAAGTGTAGATACCGTTGTCATCAGGACGAACGTATTGAATATCTAAGGCAACGTAGCCAAAGTCGTGAGTGGTTTGATGTCGGGAACCTAGAAAAAGTTTTAATATGATATAACATTCATGTAACGAATGATAATGGTCAGATAGATTAATAAATTATTTTTATCATTGGTTAATGGTTTATAAGAAAATTTAGAAGCAGATTTTAAATTAGATTCTGTACTTCAAAATTGTGATACAAATAAATTTTTAAAACAATTTATGAGATGATTTTAATATGATGTACTACATTACATAAAATACATATAAGTATTTGCAAATAGCATTAATGCACACAAAATTAAAAAAAAAAGTAGTAAGGTGGGCTAGTTTTGTTCGAAAGTAAAAACTATTTACAGAGAAGTGCTTAGTAATGATAATTTATACACTTTAATAGATATTTTCTTGAGAAATAGTTTGTATTCTTTAAATAATAAAAAAAAAATCTTGTATATTTTACTAATAAATATAGGAGGGGATTAAAAAAATTGATCTTAAAACAGGGGGTGTGCTAGTTGTATTTCAGAAAACAAAGTATCATGAGGTATTCATATTTTAGTGATATCCATAAAGGCAGTAAAATAAAGCTAGCAGCATTCGCACTAAATTGGCAAATCACGAATAGTCCTCGAGGCCAATTTTATGTGATCCACCTGTATTAGGGTATTTATTTACTAGAAATACTACTGACAAATATTCAATAAACCACTTTCAAATTAAGTAATTTAAAGTAATACATACTTGGCTGTAATGGCTTTTCGTTGATAAACCATTCGACTTTGAGGTTTGGATCTCCAACAGGGATTAGCCTACATTCTAAGTGGGCACTTTGACCCTCAACCAGTTCAAGATTTTGAAGAGGAACAGTGAATACTGGTCTTTGGAAGGTCCTAGTTTCAACATAATCAGGAGGCCTCTGCTTGGATAAGTCTTCTAAAGCTTGAATTTTAGCGAGACCATCAGGATGATGGGTATCTGATATGACACCCGATCGACCTGAAATGAATGAATCATAATAATCAGGGAGAGTTTTGAGGCTTTAGACGTATTTATTACACGAAATTCAACCGAAATATAAAATCATACATTCTATTTGTAATAATCTTATATTTTGTTACATTTAAAATCTAACAAAATAAATAACGGTATATTGTTTTTATATTTATTTCTTAAGTATTTATGCTATTATCTTAAATATAAAACAAACCGGTATGGATGTTACTCACAAAAACGCTGGTAATGAAATAATCGAAACAAGTTTATTCTAATAGATTTTCCTTCAAGTTTAGGCTAATAGATTTTTCTAATTAGAGAGAATTTTTCGCCTATTGTTTTCATTTCCACTTCATGCAACACTTAACATTTCATGCAACACTTAATATAGGCTTATTTTTTACAAGCATTGAAATAGGGCTTAATTATGACAAGGGCTTAGTTTCAATACCACTTTAATTAGAGCATAGTTTTGACAAAGATATTAAAAATATATGTAAAAGAGTGGAACTATAGAATAAATTATATTTTTTAATCTTGATGAGTAAAATTAGATGGGAAGCAAAATTTAAAATTTTTGTGTTCAACTATGGATTTTAAGAGTCAAAATAATTTCTTGAAGGCCTACAAAACACGAAATATTTTTTTGAGGTTAGAAATTTAACTTTTTGCTACTTCAAAACATTTTTAATTACAAAAAGTGATTATTATCCAAACATTATATTAAAATCGAATAATTAGATTCATAATAAATTTCATTGTATAAATATTTAAATAAATACAAGTGTACGATTCATTTTGGAATTTTACATAACTGCACTATAAAAATTAATGAAAAATCTGCTAGCTTGTTAGTCAATATAAAACCGTTTATTTCACAGAAAAATACTATTATTTATAAAAGGACACCTGTTTTTTAGTAAATAAACTTCGTTATTTTAATAACCAAACTATAGTTTTAACAAAAAAACTCTGTTTTTTACAAAACTCTGTTTTTTACAAAACTCTGTTATTTTAACAAAAACAATAACTCTATAAAATAACCATGTTAGCATTCAGGTTGATGTGATCCGAGAGCAGAATTCATCGGTGCTGTTGGAATCTGGATCACTTTATTGGGAATCAGCTCTCCGTCCCCTAAGCCTCTCAGTATAAGAAGAAAAACCTTAAACACTCTTAAACTTAAAATTTTTACTTATTGAAATCATATTCAAGTGTAAAAACGTTAAGAATTGTAATGACTCAAATTTCTAAAAGTGTCTGGCAGCTTACCGAAAAATTATATCCAAAGACAAATAGTAATCAGATAGAGTAAATTTGACAGTAAAACAGAATCGCAATTTTATTTTTTCAATGTTCAAAACCATAAAATAATTGATTTTGCGGTAATCATGGAAAAAAAAACTAGAATTTGAATTAACCGTCTTAATCCGTTTATGATTAAGCTGAAAATCAGAATTTAAAAAAAAACGTTTTCTGACTAAAACAGCTTCTAACCGTCAAATATACGGTAAAATTAAGGAAAAAAAGAGAATTTCTTGCAATGAAACTATAGATTTTGAAATATTTTGATATTTTATTGTTTCATTCTTAAATTTTATGGACGTTTCTACTTTTTTGAACAAAGCAAAACATTTGAGGTAAAGCCATGTTCTGTAATTTGCAAGCCATAAAATATTTTTTTAAAATTATTATTTAAAAATTCAACAAATATTTAAATTTCTTTTTATGGTGTTTCTCTTCTTTAGTGGGGTCTCAACAGAGTTAATATGAACAGATGAACTATGTAGATGAGGATAAATTATATGGATATCTTTAAAACGAACTATCATGTCATGAAATGAACCACATCACATTTCTAAGGCATATTTGTAATGATTAAACCAAATATCCGTTATTTTTTTAAACATCCATAAACAGTAGTTTTTATTAAAATTAAAGATTTCAAAAACCTATATACTTACTGTGTACACGAACGTTCAGGCTACTAGTAGCCTCACCCAGTTTGTTGGAAACTTTGCATGTCAGTTGACCAGCATCCTTTGGATACATGTGGCTGATATCCAATGCAACGTAACCGAAATCCAGTGTGACATGGAAACGAGATGCTAAATATAGATGCAAGAATAGAAGATTAAAAGTTAATTAAATTATATATTATATATTAAAATAGATCATAATTAAAATAGATCATAATATGTCAAAACCAGTTCAAAATCTGACAGTCACAAACCTGCATCGAGAGGTTTTCCATTGAGGAAGAATTCAACTTTCAGTTCGGGGTCATGGGCAGGCTCAACTCTGCATTCGAAATGAGCGCTATCACCTTCGGTGTATTCTGTCAAGCCTCTCAACTCCGAGACAAAGTAGGGTTTGCAAATTGGTTTATCATCTACTTCAATTGGTTGGTATTTTGTTTGGCACTCCAATTCTCGAATTTTTTCTAATCCTTCTGGATGCTGTGTGTCATAATAGATATTCCTGCGAGCTGAAACAGTTTAACAATTATGATTAATTTAGCTTTAAAAATTAAAGCATTAGATATTAAAAATTCGAAATTGGTAATAATAATTGATATTTCGACCATTAGTAGACAAAGGTTGAAAGGTTGGTTAAACAGAAAAAAATAACAGTGCACTATGTATACAACATTTCATGTACTAATCTTTTAAAGCAATTACGAAAATTATTTAAAATAAATTATTAACCAATTTTAATTTTAATAAAATTTATTAGAAAATAATATTTTTATCATACACTTAGTGTGATCAAAACTACCAGAATATGGTAAAATTTACCGTGATTTTGGCTATATGGGAAAACAAAACTCGGTAATTTTTACCAAAGCACTTTGGTAATGATTTTGGTAGCAATAAAAATAAAATATATAATCTCATGATTTCATAATATTTTGTAATTTTATCATGATATATATTAGAGCATGCGAGTTAAAACCATTTATTTGGTTAAATTTACTTTTTATTTTTGTATTTTCTACTAAATATGTGGTTATAAGAACTATAATTTTGAAACAAAGAATTTCCAGTTAATTATTACCATATGAACATTAAACTTACGAATTACTGATTTAAATACCGTAATTATTGGATATTATTCCCAAAATTAAGGATTTTTTAAAAGAAATGTCATTAACATATAGTATGGGAATTTTACCAGAATTTTTTCTCTGTGTGCATTTATAAAATAGAACTTTTCGAAAAAATTTTACATGCTTTTAAATATTTTAACTGAATTAAAAATAGTTGTTACTAACATATTTTTCGTGAAACTTTTTTAGATATATTTTTAAAGATTGTATTTAATTCCTTAAACTAAAGTAAGTATTTTTAACTATGTATGTTTTTATATATAAGTAACCAAAAATATTTAAAAACTAACTATCGTGAACATATATACAATAAAAAAGTTATAAATAAATATATAACTTCATAATACATTAATAAGATAAATAAATAAAAACATTAACGTTAATGGATCAAACTTACCTTCAACTTTGACAGAGCATGTCGTAACTGCTTCTCCAAGCTCGTTGAAAGCTTTGCACATATATGTTCCACTATCTTCTGCATAACTGTAAAGGATATCCAAAGCAACGTATCCAAAATCATGAACGGTTCTAAAGCGATGACCTAAAGACAAATAGCAATTAAGTTTACCAATTAATGCATTTAGCTTTGAACATAGAATTTTAGTGTTAAGCACACATTTATAAGTCAAAATAATACTATACGGAATAAAATCCTATGAAGCTATATATCTTTTAAGAGCAAACTTAGTGAGAAATCTGATTTTTACCAGTTAAAAATGAGATATTTGATATATATATATATATATATATATATATTACTGTGACAAAAAATTTAATTTAATCTATCATGAAATGAAATGGACTAAACCATCTAGTGCACAAATAATTTTTTTAGAATAACTAAAATTTCCTCTTATCTCATGAAAATCCTGTAACATTGTTCAGACTGGTTAAAAGCTAAAGATTCACAAAATAATTAAATACATTTTTCTTTTAGCATTTTATTATTTATACTTCCCCGTTACGCGTTCATTCAATTGATTATTTTCATCAAGTTCATTTTTAGGTATAAACACGGAATTTATAAATCTCGTTATTTATACCCTCATTTATCTATTCATTTTTGCGTTAATTTATTCGATTATGCTCATATGCTCATTTATGTGATGTTATGCTTTCATTTATCGAATTATTTTCCGCTATGTCAGTTGTAATTATGAACAGAAAATTTATAAATCTCGTTATCTCTACGTTCATTTATCTAATTATGTTCATTTGCTCATTTATATGATGTTATGCGTTCATTTATTTGATTAATTTTTTCGAGTTTATTTGTAATAATAACTATATAGAAAGTATAAATCCCGTTATGTACAAGCAAAAAATTAAATTTATGGCCAATTGTTATTACAGTAGGTAAAATTTTGAAAACTCCACTCACTTTTCCACCAAAAAAAAATATTTTAAAAATAAAATCAGTTTTTGGTAAATAATCGAAATGAATTCCTTTTTTAAATTAATCTCAATCCCAAAAGAAATTTAACACAACATTACTAGAAAAAAAAATGACCCTATAAAGGATAATAAGTTTTTACAATTCCACAAACTTACCTGCTTTAATTTCAATTCCATTGACATACCACTCCACTCGTAATTTGGGATCGTTAACTGGTTCAAGTTTGCATTCCAGGTGGACAGGTTGTCCTTCCTGGATATTTTCTTGACTCTTCAAAGGAGTGATGAAGATGGGTCGAGTTACAGGTATGACAATTTCTTCAGGACCTGGACGGTATTGTTCTTCCAAAGCGCGGATCTTTTCAAGACCTTCTTCGTGTAGCGTATCAGTATAAATAGAACCCTTGGCTAAAACGAAAAGTCATACATTTTTAAAAGAACTTTAAAACTCAGAGACAGGGCTGTAGCGAATGATGGATTTTTTTTGGGAGGAGGAAATGCAAAATTACTCGACTCATGTTCGCTTTAAACCCAACTAATGCTCAAGTTGGGAAAAGCCTCTCATATTTTCAATTTTTCATATTTTATATTTGATAAGTAAATTTTTAGAATTCATTTAAACGATGGATTACAATTGATAGTAAAGAAATATTGATCTTAAAACTCCCGAGTTTTCCTCTTGCAATCACTTAAAAACTTCAAACATATCTGCGTAAAAATAATGCATTATCTAATAAATAAACAGTGAACGAAGTAAAAATTTATATTTTTAGTTAAAAAAATAATACTTTTTATTTTCAATAAATCAAAAATTAATATTTGCCAATGGCAGGCACTGAATTTGAATCTTTGCCTATGAAGATGAAGAATTGTTGCTCATTTCGCGTTACCCAGTGGGCACCTAGTGGGCACCTGTGAACCAAAGTCTCGGAGGCGAGCAACATTGCCCACGCCACACTGCCACAAACTCGTTTATAGGGTGGGCCACATTCACACATCTCAGTCGCACAACAGAGGACAGCACAAAGAGAGAGAGAAACATCCATGCCCAGAGCGGGATTCGAATCCGCAGTCAATGGCTTCGCAGTCAGGCGCGCTAACCGTTCGCCACCTGGCCGGCCAAAAATTAATATAATTTGATGAATTAAAATTAAGTAGCAGAAAAAAGAAATGCTGCGTTTTAGTTAGGGTGACGAAAGCCGATCCCTTCGCAAAAATCAAATTCGCTAAAACACAAAATAAAATTTATACACCAGTTCCGCTTACGCGCATCAATCCAACTAAATATGAAAACAAAAAAAAAAAGTTATAAGGCCTAATTTTTCATAGTAAAAGAAAATTATAGCAATACAGACCTAGGTAGCAGAAAAAATAAAAATGGTAAAATATTTTCTTCAGTCGGCCAGAAAGCTATGTGAAGAAAAAAAAATACATCAATTTACCTAAAAGTAACATCTCGATTTACCTGATAAAATACATCAATTTATCTATTAGTAGGCTGACTTTTGCGTTTTAATGCAGCTTTGTCTGGGAAAGGCGAAAAGAAATTCGTCCGTTTGCTAAATATATCTTTAATCGACCTTGAAATAAATAAATTCAAAAACAAAAGCCGACCGAAAAAATATCAATAGGTTAATCTGTCCATAAGCCGTCTAGAGTATTTCTCCAAAATTTGGAGGGAAGACTGCCTCCTCTCCCTGCAGACATCAAAAGTTGAAAAGTAATTATGATTTGGATATACATATTTTTTTAAGAATATGGCTGTAGGGGAGACATTTAATTTGTGTAGTCAAATCAAATATAATAGACCAACCTTGAACATTAATTGAGCATGTAGTAATGGCTTCTCCGACTCTGTTAGTAGCCTTGCACATGTATGTGCCAGCATCTTCGGGAAATACGTACAAGATGTCAAGAGCAACATAACCAAAGTCAAAAGTTGTTTTAAAGCGATGAGCTGAAAATTAACATAAAATAGCAATTTAGAACTGTTTAATTTGATTATAAAATTAAAAACATACAAAAACAAGTATATAAGGAAATTGAAGACTGTTCTTAATTATTGAAACTAATCATCTAACAAAAACCTGTGTGCAGCTATAAATGAGCGTATAAGTTAACAAAATATAACTGTGTTTTACTAAACTTCTACTGTCAAAACGTTCATTTTTCAATAAAATAATTCTAACGTTCATTTTTCAATAAAATAATTCTAACGTTCATTTTTCTATAAAATAATTCTCTAATCTAGCTATCAAAACATACATTATTATTTCACATATTTTATAGTCGTAAATGCATGCATAGAAGTGAAAATGAAATGACCCGGTTTCATTGTAATTCCTCGGTGAAACCATACAATCTCTTAAAAGTTTATTAAACCAATTATGTACATAAATATATACATAGTTAATACTGTACAACAAACAACAAACCCTCACAACAAAAAATGAAAATGCTCTCTTGATACTTGAAGGAAAAGTCATCAGAATTACCTTTAATGGAAGTGACAATGACGTATGGAGGAAACTATACAATTTTGAATTATACACGTTATACAAAAATGATGACATCTTAAAATCAATCAGTCTGAACAGAACAAGATGTGCAAGCCATCTGCTAAGAGTGGATTCGAGCAAAACTGCCCTTAAAGTTTTCAATTTCACTCCTCAAAATGACAATAGACAGGCCGAACAAATTATGAACAGACTGTTTAGAAAAGACTTTCTTGTAATTAAATTAAGGATTTCGATTCCTTACAAAAGAAAAATCTTCTGAAGAATGCCTGTCATGTCATTAATGATCGTGAATACTATGTAAAAAAATAAGTATTTTTGACAAGTACCTGGTTTTATTGGCATTCCGTTGTGGAACCATTCAACCTTCATGGTAGGATCATTCACTGGTGTTAAGGTAGCCTCTAAATGTGCACTAAATCCTTCGACTAAATTGTCCAAATTATATAGAGGTCTACCAAAGTTAGGTTTGTCAAACATTTGTTCTGGTTCTTCTGGTCTTGCAAAACGGCTGTGATCTTCAAGCATTCTAATCTTTTGTAAGCTGTCCGGTTGCTGGGATTCCAGAATTAGGCTCTTCTTGGCTGCAAGCAAAAGCAAATTTACAATGTTGAAAAATCAGAATTAGTGTATTAAATTAACACGTTTGATTGCATATAAGGCACTTGTAAAAATGAACTAAGTTCAAATTTATTTTTAAGATACGTCATGAACACAATAAAAACCATTTTCTGACTTCCTTATTAATTAAAAAAATATCAATAAACAATTCTTATTTTTAAGTTAAAGAGATATAAGCGAAGTTTAGTAAAGAATTAAAAAAAGAACATCTAATCATGGCTAAAAACACATTTCAAGAGTAAAGATTATAAGCTAAGCAAATAGTGAGATACTTTCCCCTTCAGCTAAAAACAAAAATATCTGAAAGTTTCTAAAATAAACAAAATATATTTGAAGAAGAAAATGTATTTAAATACCTGCAACATTAATTCTTGCTGATGAGGATGCAGTTCCCAAGCAGTTAGTCGCTTTGATTGTATATTCGCCAGAATCTTCTGCATTAACAGACAAAATATCCAGAGCAGCAAAACCAAAATCAAACATTGTTCGGTACCGAGAACCTAGGAATTAAAATGAAAATATCATTTAACGAAAGCCATAAACCAGATTTGATAGCTACTTTTTTACATTATCTCATTCAATTACGGTGTGAATAATCTCAACATTGTTTCATATATCTCTACAGGATTTAACATTATAATGCGCAGATCCTATTTAATTTCAAAGGATTTTTTGCAGTTGAAACCTAACAAATCTTTCGGATTAAATTTACAGATCTTAATAAATAATTTAATTAAATATCAAAAAATAAAAAAGAATGACAAAGACGCATTTATTAAGTAATCTTGATAAATGTTGAGCTAATAGTGATTTGGATGGTATAAAGTGTAGAAATGTAAACGGGGTTTCAAAATTTAAGTAAGGTGATTAAAAGGTGTGATATAAACTTCTATATAATTAAATCTAAATGGTGCTACATCTTTCTTTTCTGACTTTTTTTATTTCCATTTTCCACCTGTGTTAATTCAAGCATTTACAGAGTAGATTTGTTGGCCACTCTTTCATGGACACCATATCGGGTGGGCCAACGTTGCTCACGCAGTAAGGACAGATAGAACAGAGAATGAAAGAACATCCATGCCTCTTCCGAGATTCGAACAAAGAACCTTCCACATGCAAGGCCAGTTCTCTGACCCCTACACAGCTGGTGATACATAACGTAAAACATAACTTTGCGAGAAAAAGTTAAACATAATCAAATAAATATGATTGATTAACCCCTTGCCTGTGTCCAGTTCGAGCAAATACTGCCTTCAGTATTTCTGATGCCCGAACTGACTTCGGGTAGAAGAAAACTTAACGTTTCAATTTTGTGAACCCCGTTCCGAGTTCGTTTCTACTTTAGGATACTTAATTCACCATTTCCCTAATAGATGGCGTTAGTGGTCCCAGTTTTTCACCAATTACGAGTGGTACTAGTTTTTCACCGATTCACTTCAGTCGAGGGAGGGAAAATGTGGGTGTTGTCAGCTGCTCAGATAAACAAAGACACAAACAAGATTTGTAAAATTTATGCATTGAAAATCATATTGTTGTATTTTAATATTATATTATACTAGTTATATTATATTTAGCTTTAAAATGTTGTTTAATTTGCTCTAATTGAATAAGATGTGTGTGTAATCCATTACTTTTTAATGTGTATGCAAAAATTGTAAATACAGTAGTTATTGCATTTAAAATTTTACTTTTGTGATAAAAAACGATTTTCTAACTTTTATAATAATATAAGGAGCAAAATTAAACAGTCAAAAAAATTTCCATTTTCTGAAATATATGTCAACTAAGGGGTTAAAATAATAGAAATTATTAAAATTTGAAAGTAATTATTGCAATGAATATAAACTTTTCATACCACTAGGGAGAGGTTTCCCGTTGTAGAACCACTCAACTTTCATCGTTGGATCAGGATATGGTTCAATTCTGCATTCCAAGTGACTGCTGTGACCCTCTACAAGTTTGCTTGGTCCAGACAACGGAGTGACGAAGACTGGACCGGAAGTTACACGGGATTCTTCAAATGTTACACGTTGGTGACGACTAGCATCCTCAAGGTATTGAATCTTTTGAAGTCCCTCAGGATGTTGAGTTTCTAATACAAGTGAGCTGCTTCCTAATTGATCAAAACATATTAATATTAGTGTATGTAAGAGAATTCAGATTTTTATAACAAAATGTTAAGTACATTTTTGAATTATATGAAGATTAATGCTTTTGTTACAATTTTTGATATGCTTAGTTGTGTTATGAAAAATATGATATTCTATTGTTCACATATAATATTTTTAGAGCACATTCATGCATGGAAGAAAAAAATATGGTGAAATTATAGTGAAAAATACTGTATGGTAATGAAAGTTATGGTAAAAAAAAAACAGCCTAATTCTGATTATAAAAACCGAATTATACGTTATTTAAACCATTCATTTAATAATTTTCCGTTCATATGGTAACGGCTTACCGAAAATTCTGATTTTCAAAACTATAAATTTTATCACTACACATTTAGTAAGAAATACAAAACTGAAAGTAAATTGAACCGTATAAAGGTTCTTATACCCTATACAGCTTTATAATAAAATTACCAAATTTTATCTCATTCATTGAATTTAATCACAGATTATAAAACCATATTTTATTGTTAATTTTACCAAAATAATTACCAAAGTGCTTCAGTAAAAATTATCGAGATTTTCGGCGCTTCGACAGCACTGTAAATTTTATCATTTTTAAGTAGTTAGAACCATTTTTTTTCCTTCAGTATGTTCATACATAAACATGATGCAATGTATGATATTAAGAACATTTTCGTATTTAGAGATTGTTCGTATATTAAGAACAAGAAAATAATAATAAAAAAATGAAGAAATTTTTTTTCTTTAAAAGGAAATTAAAGGAAATATTGGGGGAACCGGAAACTAATGCCGTTTTGGTGCATTTGATATTTGCTATCAAGATTCTATTTTTAATCAATAATGTATTCATTCTCGTTAGCAACAACCTTTGAATTCCGGATCAAAATTGAATAGAAATGGATAGAAAAAAAATGAATTGGCTTTTAAGACTAATGAATATTTAATGACCCAAAACGACATTACTTTCCAGTCCCCCTAATAAAAAAAATAAAGGAAAAGGATTCAGTTAATTTTTTTTTCAGTTCAATACGAAATGCTTTGTATTTAATACCTCTAACAGCTAGAGTTGCTGAACAAACAGCTTGACCAAGTTCATTTGTAGCTTTGCATGTGTATGTTCCGCTATCTTCTGGTTTGACGTAAGCCAAATCCAAAGCCACGAATCCAAAGTCGTGGGTTAAAGTTACTCTTGAGGCTAAAATGAATTTCATATATTATAAAAGCCCATAGATTACTCAATACTTATAACAGTTAAGTTTCTTAATATATATATATTATCTTTTTGAGCAGAATGTTTACCTGGCATTATTGCAATTCCATTATGAAACCATTCCACTTTAAGTTTGGTATCGCCAACTGGAATGAGACGACATTCAAAGTGTGCACTTTGATTTTCCATCAACTGTAGATTTTTCATTGGTTGAGTAAATACAGGTGCTTGAGTAGTGACTTCCTCGATGTATGAAGTTCTTTGATGCTTCTCTTCAAGTTGCTTGATCTTTTGGAGGCTGTCAGGTTGCTGTGACTCCAAAATTAGGCTGCTCTTACCTTAACGATAAAAAATTAAGTGAGTTATGTAGGTTTTTGCGATTTTAATTTAACTGATTTTGTTACGAAAGCTATGTATTTTCTTAGCGTTAATTCAGTTTTCTGTAGTTTTTGTAAGAATACTGTGTGTTAAAAATATTTTGTTAACCATTTTACAAAATTACTTATTATTGTACTATTTTATTAATTAAGTTATGAAAGTAAGAAAAGAAAGAAAGTAATAGAAAAAAATATAATCAAAAAATACAATAGAAACTTGATAAATGACAAAACCATTATTTGTTATCATATCAAAAGTAGCGTTATACAAAAATCAGGAGAGGAAAAATTTTCTGAATTTCTATTACCATTTTACTTTTATATTTACTTCCTTTTTCGTAAAATGACATTTTGATGTTTCATAACTCATAAAATAATGAAGATATACACAAACTTATGGCATTTATTGATGGAATAACTCATATATTTTCCTTTTCAGGTTTGAATATCTTTACTTTTGTAAATATCATGTGCGATTGTGGCGAATTTCAGATAATTTCATTTTTCAGTCTAAATATCTGTACTTTTCTAAATATCGTCTGCGCATTTTGCTCTCTTTTGTTTTTGGCAACTTTTGCAATGTTATGTTTTCTTTTGATGTGTTTGTTCTATGTAGTACTTTTCTGTGTCATGTTTTATTCGAGCGGATATTAAGGAGAATGCATACACCACAAGAGAAAGCACAGATTTTATGGTGGTTCATAGAAACGAAGTCGATAGTGCAAGCACAGAGAAATTGCAGAAGAATTTACCAAAGAGATCCAATTCCTTGGCCACCCAGATCACCTGATATAACGCCGCTGGACTTTTTTCTTTGGGGATATAAAAAGGACAATGTTTACAGAAGGATCGTGTCGAACATTGATGACCTAAAAGCCAGAATTACAACCGCAATTGCTTCTGTGGATGCCGACATGCCAGCCGCTACCTGGCGTGAAATTGACTCTCGACTTGATATTCCCCTTGCGACGAAGGGGATACACGTGGAAGTTCATTGACAAGGGTCATGAAACTTTTTGAGTTTATCTAACCATTTAAGTTATTAATTTTAATCTATCTTTATTATTTTATGAGTTATTAAACATCAAAATGGGTCCGGCACTTTATAAACACCCTGTATTTTATACGAATAATCCTGACAAATTTTTATAATCGAAAAAATTACAACGTACAGTTAAGATCAAAAGAAACTTCAGTACAAACTTTGTTCAAATAGGATGAAGAAACTATTCAATAATATTTACTTGGATATGACTTATGGTATTTTTACAAAAAAAAAAAAAAAAAAANAAAAAAAAAAAAAAAAAAAAAAAAAAAAAAAAAAAAAAAAAAAAAAAAAAAAAAAAAACGTGTTATATAAAATATAAGCCAAATTTCGTCAATGAATTTTCTTTGGTTTTATGTAAATTTTGTCAATGACAGATTATATTTCTAGAAAAAAAAGCTATCTTACTGTAGCATTTGAGTGTAGCAGATGTGACTGCTTCCCCCAATGCATTGACAGCTTTGCAAGTATAAGTGCCACAATCTTCTGGATAAGCATACATGATGTCTAATGCCACGAAACCAAAATTGAATGTCTGGATAAATCGTGTTCCTGCAAACAAAACAATAATCATTGTTATTGTTGGTTTTCTGATTGCTTGTTTCATTGTAATTTAAATGGACAATTCTATATTGGGAATGAATAGAGACTTGTATTTATTCACCTTGCTTAACGGGTCTTCCATTATGGAACCACTCAACTTTCAGTTTAGGATCTCCAACTGGAATAAGCTTGCATTCAAAGTGCACTCTTTGTCCTTCCTTGATTTCCACGTTTTGAGGTGCCTTTGTAAATATAGGAGACTGGCTAGTAAGTTCCTCCTGGTAAATATCTCGTTGGTATCTGTTGGAGGAAAGAGAAAATATATAATTTAGGGGAATTTCAAAACAAATAAAAACTACAGTAAATGTTAGAGGTTGAATCATAAGCAGCAAAATAAGTGTTTAATATCTGATAGATATTTTCAATTGACAGTAAAAAGAATTTAATAGGAATATTGCGTAAGTTATACTAATTTCCAAAAGTTAAGTACGGAGCGATAAAATGCGAAAATACAATCAAGTATTATTTTGATTGACAAAAAATGTAGCTTAAAAGTAGCAAATATGTTTAATTGGGAAACAAAATTAGATGCTGACATCATATTTGTATATTTCAGCTCCCTCCATTTTTACACAGTGTGTATTTATGCTTGTTACAAGGTGGTCCATCACCAGTGAGTCCAGTTATCGACATTCCTCCCTCTTTTAGATCAGTTTCCAAATCTGTGAGGGTTGTTGGAGGGAGAGACCAAGTATAAACAACTCAGCCTAGGACATTCTGAAGATTTTCAATTTGATTTAGATCTAGTAAGTAAGCCGGCCACTTTGTATACGCAATCCCCTTATTCTCTAAATAGTTATCGACGGTGGCAGTTCTCTGAGGATTTGCGTTGCCGTTCATTAAAACGAAAGTAGAACCAACTGCTGCAGCGTACAGCTTCACGATTAAACCTAGGACTTCATCCCGATACCGTACAACAGTTACAGAACCCCATCTATATATGTGGAGGTCTGTGCGATACCCATTGAAATTTCTGACCAGGCTATGATGCTTTCACCGTGGTATGCGTGATGTTCTGATGTGTGCATATTGTCCTTGTAAACCAAATCTAGACCCGTCCGAGAACGTAACGTTGCTCCAATCGGAGACAGTCCAATTCAAATGCTCTCGGTACCACTTTAATCATTGGAGTTATTCCAGATAATGCGACAATATGTCTAGAACTCATCGAACCCTGCTCGAAAAAAGATCCTACGAATAAATTCAAGGAGCTAGGAATGATGAAAACTATCGATTCTCTATCTGGCCTCAATCATATCAGGGCCTTTACTGATGGATCTTCAGACTCCACTTTCACCAACGAAGGTGCGGGAGTGGTACTGCTCCTACCTGATGATCCAAAATGAGAGATCGCAACTGGTGCTGGAAAAATCGCATCTAATTTTACGGGAGAATTGATAGCCATTTCCACGGCAATCGAAACGTACATCAATCTTGAACATTTGGACCAGCTTAGTGGTATCACCATCTTCAGCGACTGCAGATCTGCCTTACTGACCCTCAGATAAGGTACCTCAAGCCTAATCTAGAATATCATAGACCAACTAGGACAAATTCAACGTCTACAGAAAAAATGCTTCTTGCAGTGGATTCCCGCCCATGTGAACCTTGAGTTCAATGAAATAGCTGTTTCCTCGGCTAAAAATGCCAGAGATCTCAATCAAAATACAATTCCAATTACGCTGGCAGATGCAAATGCTTTTGCAAAGTCAAGACTATTCACCCCCTTAAAAATCAAGGCCCACGATCAAATAACTAATCTTGACATCGACAGAAAGACAGTCACCACTCTCATCAGATTAAGAACAAAACATCATAAAAACATGAAAATCTTTACAGATGGGACTAGAAAATATCAAAACTGTGGCAACTGTCCTAATGTGGAACTCACACCATATCATGTTTTTAACTGTCCTGCAGTCGCCGCAGGCCTTCACCTCTTAAACTACCCTACAGAGGAAGATTTATATTAATTTAATGCCATGGAGATGATAGCAAAGACTATTCAAACACACCACAAGATATGACTCAATAGGGGATACGACACCAACCAACCACTTTAATCATGCACCTCCTCTTCATTGAGGAATGCTAACTCATGTTACCGGGTGCATTCTGCTTTCATGTGTAGCCTATGTTTAACAGTAGTGGAAGATATCGTTCACCCGTCTGGAGTTCGCCTTTGATGCCGCTTAGCAATATATTGATCATCCGCGAATTGTAGACCTTGGACAACCAACCACAGGTCTTCGGATAATCGCTTGTCTTGTTTGTTTTTATTTTCATAATTGCGAACCTTGCATACATCTAACACTGTTTGATTAAAAAACTTCATATGCCTCAAAAATATGGAGAAGAAAATAAAATTCGATATCTTTCAACCTCTTAAAAATGAGCACCCATTTTTCAAGACTTTCCAGAAGTGAATGAAAAGAAGCAAAGTAATTTGAAATATAAAACGCAAAGTTGCCAACGGAAACTTTCAATGGCAAATTTATATAGTTGTGACAGTTTTACATTTACATTATTTTATACTGTAGCGACATCCTCCAAACACGACAGAAAATTAATCACAGCATTTGTAATATTAAGAGTAAATATTGTTCGAAAATAAAAAAGAATCATTGAATAAAAACTAGATTAACTATCTCTGCATTTCTTTTACCTAGTTTTGAGCAATTTGAGTTTTTTTAAAAAGAAGCAAAATTGTCAAAAAAAGTATAATACCTTGAATAATCTTCCAAATGCTGAATCTTTTGAAGACCTTCAGGATGCTGAGTTTCAGACAATATAGATGATTTTCCTAAATAAGAAAATAGCAGGATTTACAACATTATCATAACATTTTGGAACTTTATTTATCATAAATGTGATTTTTTGCTTTAATATATTTCTTCTTGAATATACTTACCGGCGCATGTTAATGTAGCTTGAATTTCTGCAGTTCCCACTGTGTTAACAGCTCTGCAGGTATATGTCGCAGTATCTTCTGGAACAACTGAAAGAATATTCAGCGCAACATATCCAAAATCATGGAATGGTCTGTAACGATGTCCTACAAAAAGGTAAAACAATTTTTTTTTAAAAAAAACCTGTGCTTTTACTGTAATTAATGATAAATTTGTGAGTATTAAATTTTGTATCGAACTTACCAACAGGCAAGGATTTTCCGTTTCTGAACCACTCCACCCTTAAAGAGGAGTCGTTGACTGGCTCCAGTCTGCACTCAAAATGAGCGAGTTGGCCTTCATGTAAATTCAGGTTATTAAGCTTGCTCAAGAATTTGGGTTGGATTTTAGCGGATTCTTCAATCCAAGTTTCTCTATGATGTCGACTTTGATCCTCCAAATATTGAATTTGCTGAAGTCCTTCTGGGTGCTGGGACTCCAAAATAACTTGGCTTCTTCCTGTACATCAGTTTATGGTTATTCAATACACTCTCAGAAAAAAATGTTTTATTGTTGAAACATGATATTGAAACTTTTAAACAAAATTACTGCCATTTTAATAAATTAAACTTAATAATGTTTCTGTTCAAGTTTGAATTTTAGTACTGTGCAATAATATCCAAGAAGGGTTATCTTGTTTGATAATGTGGTTTAACTTGGCATCTTATTAAAGTTGCAGGAAAATTTAAGTAAAATTATGATTTAGCTTGGTACAAAATTTTTAACAACACATAAAAATATCATAGAAAATTACCATTATGCATGCAAGTAAATGATAACAGTATAAAATTATGTTTTTTTTTCAGTAAAAATCATTCTATGATATAGGAAGGAATTGTGCTATAACTGTAATATTTGTATAACTAATATTTTTCGTAAGTTAATAATTAATAAAATATTGATTTTTAAAAAAAACTAAACAAATTATATTCAGAAATATTTTTAATAGTAAAAAAAATAAAATTTCCTTTGAGACTGTATAGTATTATTTTTATTGCCTTTTATGCTACATGTCACTTTATAATACTTTGGAGGTCCAGGGGTTTTATTTCTTTTTCATATACGTGGTATTGGGGTTTAAGAAAAAGCCATTTTTACCGAAACTTAAAAAACAGAATGTAAGGCCCATCACTTATCATTTAAGGGTTTTATGAACATTAGATTACACATTAGATTAAAATTACACATTAGATTATTTTAGCTGAAATTCTTTAAAAGAGTTTAAATGTCAAATGAAAACAACAGTTTCCACTTTTAAATTCATTACCTAACCAATTGGAAAATTTCTTTCCATATCTATTGTTACCATTAAAAAATTGTTTTTTTTTTCTTTACTTCTGAATTATATCACAGCATTATAAGCCATGATCACTCAAATTTACTGATTCAAATTACAAATTTTCTTACATACCTGTACATTTTACAGTACAAGAAGTTACTGCTTGTCCAAGACTGCTTATTGCTTTACAAGTGTAAACACCATTGTCTTCTGGGTACACACTCAATATGTCTAGAGCGACATAGTCGAATTCGTATGCGGGTCGGAATCGATGTCCTATGAGAAATAAGATTTATTAGGATAAGTTATAAGTAAGTGGATGCAAAAATAAAGAAATATTTATAGTTTGAAATAATATTTGAACTACATTGATACAAATATTTAACACATAAGTTTATCATTATTTTTCTAAGCGTCACAATAATTAAACCATATAATATTAGTTTTTGGTGTATAAAAATCATATTTCTAAAGATGAGTTCAAGCATTTTATCTCAAATAACTTGCTTCATTTGATTTAACTCGATTAATTTTGAAATTAAAGCAATTGTGGCATGGCGAAATCATCGTACTTGATTCGAAAAGTTCATGCTCTGGCGAACCTAAAAATTTCAACATACGCTCAAAGTATTTTTTGTTATCTATTTGAACTGAATTCGCGATCGCAACGCTCGAGTACGCCCTCTATCGGGAGCCTGTAAATATCAGACATTAATTTATCACGTTTTCAATTTGTTCCATCAAAATCATCGGCCATGACGGACGCCATTTTCTTAGCAGCAAATAAAAATCAAAATTTCCCTAAGGCACAGCTGAAGAACTTGAAAAAACTAACCAGAACATGCCAAACATTGAAGCAGAACACGCCAAGCATTTGAAGAACAATTTCTTAATAATTTTTACCTTTCTATTATCAACAACGTAACTTACAATTCGCAGAATAGTCGCAGGTATGCGTCTATTCTATCGAATATAATAGAATCGCAGAATAGAATGCGTCTATTCTATCGAATGTATAGAAATCGCAGGTATGCGTCTCATACAACAACGCCCCCTATAGTTCGTTGCGATCGCGAATTGAAGTTCAAGAAATCAAAAGGTACCTCGTGATTGAATCAAGTTAGCATGTCTTATATACCAGTGAATTGATGTTTAATTTTAGTAGTGGTAGTTACGCCGCAATACTCCCCCACCAGAATTTTATCAGGGATAGAATTCGATGAACGGATCTCACTAGTTGCTGTACTTGTGAAAGACCGGGAGAGCTGCAATTAAGGTCACTGGGTTTTTGAGTGCTGAATGTGAGAGGTTCATCCACCTCACAGTCGTAGTCGCTCCTATGTTGCCATTAGCAGCCGAGTATATGCAGGCAGCCGTTTAATCGAGACGTGACAGAGTAGCAACAGCGTGAGGAGGATTGGATTATGTCGCTGACACAAGTAGCAAGTCAACTGTTCAATGTGGACTATCCATCGAAGTGGGCGTTACTGCGTGTTCAAATCACGTCCGGAGGTCACCAATGAGGGGGCGGAGTTATCGACCATGCCAACCGTCATCTATCAAAAGGTACCTCGTGATTGAATCAAGTTAGCATGTGTTATATACCAGTGAATTGATGTTTAATTTTCGTAGTGGTAGTTGCGCCACACAATTTAAAATGTTTTAAAGTTAAAACGAAATTTCCAATTTTTGAAAAAGTTGCTACATGTTTTAATAGGTAGTCACTGTTAAAAATACTACAACTGGTCAGTAGCAAAATTTCCCAATTTTGCTCCATAACTAGCCATTAAGTGAGCTCCGTGACACGAAATTTTGCAGCTCACTCCACGCTATTCTAACTATACTGTTCATAAAAAGACTGAAAAATTTTATCGGTTTTCATCTTAAAAGAAATGTTGAGATATTCCTTCCTTTTCTTTTGGTTATAAATATACAACTTCGAGGAGAATCCAAATGTTTTGAAAACAAACTTTTCATTTTAATAATATTTTCCTATATTACAACGACAATGTTTTTTTTTTTACATAAAAATAAAACTTCATGTACCATACTCATTTAGAAATTGAGAGTTTTATGGGCGCATTTTAAGCAGAAAGATTAAACCCACATTCAGCAAGAATAATTTCAAAGTTTGTAAAAATCGTGGATTTCATTTTAATATTCTTTAATATTTTAACTTTCTTATTATAGTTTAATTTTCCGATAGAAATATTCAAAATATTTATTCAAAAAAATTTTATTAAATAAAAAAATTACATCACATGAAAATTATGAGTTGAATGAATAGAAAAATAAGTCGTTACACAATAATCTTCTGTGAAGTGCGAAACTGATCTCATTGAAATCATGTGCATATACGCCGCCCAGGTTTTCCTGGTTTCTCGCCCAGGAACAATGTTTTCATGGGGCACATTAGGACCCATAATCCTCACAGAACAATCCCTGACGTCTGTAAGCTATTTGAACATAGTTGCAGACCAGGTTCACCCATTCATGGCAACAGTTTTTCCTGCGGGGGATGGTGTTCACCAACAGAATAATGTCCCATGTCATAAGGGTCGAATCATCGAGGAACTTTCCAGTGACTTTCAAGTCATGTCTTGGCCCCCAAATTCCGACCTTAATCCAATAGAGCATTTGAGGTCCTACTTGGAAAACCAAATTCGTGCTGCCACGCTACCCCCTCGCAATGTGAGGGCATTGTTGAACCAGTTGGTAACAGATACCTCAGACTACCCATCAGCACCTTGTGATATCAATGCCACGGCGGGTGCTAGCAGTTTTGAGGGCTAAAGGTGGTTCTACATGTTATTAGCAGGGTGGTCATAATGTAATGACTCTTCGGTGTAAGCAAACAAATTTGCTTTTTTTTTCTGCAATATATTTTAAACTTACCAACTTTGAGAGGGGCTCCGTTGACAAACCACTCAATTTTCATAGTGGGATCACCTACGGGAGACAGACGACATTCCAAGTGGATGTTGGACCCCTCAATCGTTTCAATATTGTGCAAGGGTTTCGTAAAGGTGGGGAGTTGCGTAATAACAGTTTCTTCGAACTGATCTCTCTTATACCGGCTTGAGTCCTCCAAGTGTTGTATCTTCTGAAGCCCTTCAGGGTGCTGAGTTTCCGAGACGACACCACTCTTACCTACAAATGACACGTTAACACTTAAAGCAACATTTCATTGAACATAAAACTGATAAAGATGAAATAAGATTTTAATTTTAAAAAATTGGATTAATTTGGAAATGTATCTTTACAAAGAGATGAAGCGTGTTTGAGTTTGTTTCGAGTTTGACAGTTGTAAAAAAAATTCACCTGAGGTAGAAAATGAGGTTATGNAAAGGTGGGGAGTTGCGTAATAACAGTTTCTTCGAACTGATCTCTCTTATACCGGCTTGAGTCCTCCAAGTGTTGTATCTTCTGAAGCCCTTCAGGGTGCTGAGTTTCCGAGACGACACCACTCTTACCTACAAATGACACGTTAGCTTAACACTTAAAGCAACATTTCATTGAACATGAAACTGATAAAGATGAAATAAGATTTTAATTTTAAAAAAAAACACGGTTTAAAAAATTGGATTAATTTGGAAATGTATCTTTACAAAGAGATAAAGCGTGTTTGAGTTTGTTTCGAGTTTGACAGTTGTAAAAAAAATTCACCTGAGGTAGAAAATGAGGTTATGTTTTGCACCAAAAGTAACAATAAACCTCAATTTCAACTTCTTTTAAGTTTATAAAATAAATCTCATATATATCTCAGCAATATTTTTAGTAGAAATCGGAAGAAATTATTCACACCTCAAATATACTTATTTGATTAAAGTGCAGAAAAATTAAATGTATACCTCAAAAACAACCTCTCTAAGGTAGATTTCTATCAACCTCAAAACAACCTAAACTGTGAACAAAACAGCTCCATACACCTACATTGTTTACCTTGGTAGGTAATTTTTTTAAACTTTAAAATTTAACTTTAAAATAATCCAATCCTTTTTTAATCCTTTTTTAATTTAACTTTAAAATGTTGTCAAGGAAGTCACTTTCAACAAAATCTCAAATAAATCGTAACATTTTATAAACAACCTCAAACAAACCTAAAAAACACCTTACAGCTTTGTAGGACTATGTGTTAAGCCTTTGACGCAGAATTTTTATTAAAAATATTTTTTATAATTTTTCATTATTTTGTATAAATTTAGGTCAAAATAAGGGAAGGATATTATATTTTGCATTTTAATAATTTATGGTTATGAAATACAGCATGGAACAACGGCGCATTTTTCTGCGTTAAAGGTAAATTCTTTCAAATACGGCTCACTTCCAAAAAAAATTTTTTTTCAAATTTGCAGTCATTTAGATATAAGATAAACCTTTATTCATGACGGAAATTTCTTTAATTCACAAAATCAATTTTTGATAAAGTTTTGAATATGAACAAACAATTTTCTTTTTCAAACTGCTTCTTTTGCATTTTATATTTTAGCTCAAATACAATCTCAATAATTTAAGTTTTTTTAGTAACTCATACATTATTTTTAAAATTGACAAAAATCAAAATATATTTTTACTTGTAATTAGAGCACCAGAAAAAATACATAAAATGGACACCAGAGTCCCATCTGCGTCAAAAGTTTAAGAACTGTTACAAATAGTTTGATTGGTTCATTAATCCTTTGAAGCAGAATATTTCATTAAAAGTAGTTTTCTTGGTTTTTTTTAATTTTGTATTAATTTAGATTTAAGATAAATATTATATTTAGCATTTTAATAATTTATTGTAATGAACATGAAAAAAAGTTGTCTTTTTCTGCGTTAAAAGTAGAATCTTTCAAACACCGCTCACCTCAAACAATATTTTTCAAATTATTACTTATTTGCAGTCAATTATATCGATAATAAATAGTTTTCCTCGTTGAAATTTCTGTAAGTCAAAAAATTAGTTATTGATAAATTTTTTCATATGAAGGAAAAAAAATTCGAACTATTTTTGGATTTTATATTTTGATACAAATATAACCCCGATAATCTATCAGATTTTCTTTGGTGAGTTTTGGAATATTTTTCTAATTAAAAAAAATAAATTAATTAANTTTTTTTTTTTTTAAAAAAACTTGGAATTACAGCGTCAGAAAAAGTGTATTAAAGGGATACCTGTGTTCCATTTTCGTCGAAGGATTAAGAACTATTTACTAGTAGTTTGATAGGTTTATTATTTTAAAAAACATGGTACACAAATTGAGCTGCGTCTTTTTTTTTATTACAGTATTGTCAAACATTAAATTCGACTTAGATTTGCTCAAAGAAATAAAATCAGTTTTCTAAAAAGAATTATAGGCAGTAACAGAATACTTTCCTAGTAAAATCTCCTTTTTGTTATATCACAGAATAATTAATCAGCATTTTATCAGTACACAGTTTGATCAGAAATATATATAATTAAAACCGGATTTTAATGTAATTCTTGGTACATTGTCTTACACTGAAAAATGGTAAGATCCATTTATACTTTTTTCTACTAAATAAAAACAATTTGCTTCTAAATAAAAGTGTCGATAAAACCTTAAGCCAACAGTAACTAAGAATGTATTTTACGATCGAAATTTTAAAATCAAAATATTTGTGATTTAGTAAAAACTAACAAAATTTGTTAGCAATTTAGAAAACAATTTAAAACATAGTAATAATTTCGGACGTATGATTACTTTTCTTATAACAAAATCTAAATTTAATATTGTTTTTGCATGACATAGGTAGCCCTTCTTACCCATTACTGTTAAAACTTACCAATTACTGTAATACAGGCACTAGTGTGCGAAGAACCAAGGTGATTAGTTGCTCGAACAGTGTACTCCCCGGTATCTTCCGGATAGGCTGTGGTGATGTCAAGAACAATATGACCAAATTCATACTTAGATTGGAATCGAGATCCTAAATGATAAGGAAACCAATTAATTCCTGACATGAAATATTTCCATTTTAATATTAAGTAATATTTAAATTGAATTACGAATTGTATACCTTTCAATTAAATTGAAATTTTAAACAAAGATTTCTTTCAAAATAAGGAATTATTTTATACCTCATTGTTTTCTAGTGTGGGACGTTTCTTTAAAACTTTAAGAAAGCTTAAGTTCCTATTTCAGAAAATTTTGAGAATACGTTTATTTCGTAAAACTGGAAAATCGAACATATTTCTATAAGTTTAAAAATATTTAAAACTGAAAAGTTTAATCAGTTTCTAGAAATTAGTGAAATTAGTGAAATATATATAAAGTGCAATAGATGTTTCTGCATAGAGTTAATTAGCAGTTAAATATTGAATAATTCAAAAAATGAAGGATAAAATGATATGGGCGAAAATGTTGGAATGAAGACGTCTATAACAAATAGCCATTTTTTTCTAAACTTTATTTTATTAAACTGAAGATAGTTTACGATTTTAGGGCATTTTAATGTTAACTTTGTCGTTTGAAATTGTATTTTTGGGATATCTATTTTTTATTTATCCAAGTATATCAATTTATGTTACGAAGTACTGTTTCCTGTAGTAAGGTATCCTGGTTTGGAATGATATTTTTTTCCTCTTTATTCATTAAATAAATAAATTAAAAAGTAAAGTGTAAATTAGTTAGAATTATTCTCACCAGAGGGAAGTTGTTTTCCATTGAAGAACCATTCAATTTTGAGAGTTGGATCCCCTACTGGTTCCACTCTGCATTCCAGATGTACTCGTTCTCCTTCTCTCAAAGGCTTAGGACTGTGCAAAGGAATTGGGAAAAACGGTTTGCTTTTGGAAATTTCCTCAATGAATCGATCTGTATCTACATGAGCTGGTCTTTCCAAGTATTCGATTTTCTCTTCGATTTCATGTATGGTAGAAGTATCAACTCCACTTTTTGCTGAAATATTATGTGAAATTTAATTTTTATAAGAGTATCAACTCCACTTTTTGCTGAAATTTTATGTGAAATTTAATTTTTATAGAAGTATCAACGCCACTTTTTGTTGAAACAATGAGTGAAATTTAATTTTTATAGAAGTATCAATTCCACTTTTTACTGAAATATTATGTGAAATGTAATTTTTATAAAAGTAACAACTCCTTTTTTTTCTGAGACATTATGCGAAATTAAATTTTTATGAAGTATCAGCTCCTTCTTTTGGCGAAATATTATGCGAAATTTTATCGCTATAAAATAAGAAACTGAGCAAGAGCAATTAAAAATAAATAAGGCGATAAGATTTTTTTCTTTTAAGTGTTAATTTACTATGTAAGTTCTGCTGATACTGTTTATCTAATGAAACTTGAATTTTATTAGATCTTTTTTATAAAAAAATTCTCAAATTATTACTTTAGATTACTTTTAAATCCCTTTTACTCCAGACAAATGACTACAATAAAATGTAAATTAATTATTGGCTTACCTTGGACTTGAACCACTTTATTTAATTGGGCTTGTCCTAAAGAGTTTTTAGCTACAACCGAAAAAGTTCCTGTGTCTTCTGGAAAGACGTACAAAATATCCAATGCTACATATCCAAAGTCAAAATATGTTTTGAAACGATGACCTATAAAGCAAAAAAAATATGATTAAAATGCAAATTAATAAAAAAATTATGATATAGCAATATAAAAAAGCTCATTATTTAAAAAAAAAATTAAAATTTTGAAATACACAGAGAAAAAATATTTGCTATAATTATCGTACTATAGAGTAATGACAACTCCAGTAAAAAAGATCTATAAATCTCGTTCATAAAACTATAAACAGTATTTTAGCCATTCCTTTAGTACTTTTTCTGCTCATATGGTTTTCTGGAAATTCATTTTTTAAAAAATTGAAGTTCTCATTAATACACATTTAGTGAAAAATGCGAAATTTTAAATGTAAAGTAAATTTGGTTGAATTAAAAGTAAATTTAACCAAATAAATAGTTTTTTTTTGCCTAGCTTTCAGGCATTATGATAAAATTTTCAAATTGTGCCACTTTTATCAATTTTTTTTAAAATTACAACCAAATCGCTTTGTTAAAATTACCGAGCTTTTTAGTGTGTCCATGGAGCCAGTAATACGGTAAATTTTACCATATTCTGGTAGTTTTGACTATACTTTTTTCTCAGTGTACTAATTTTGGATTTTTGAAAAAATGAAATGAATTACCTGTAGTCAATGGGCGGCCATTAAAGTACCATTCAACAATCATGCCTGGATCACCCATGGGTTCTAATCTTGTTTCAAAGTGAGCATTTTGTCCCTCAATGAGCTGTGTCTTCCCGATAAGCTCAGAGGTGAATGTGGGTTTTTGTGTGAATGTTACATCTTCCCTGGTGTCTCTTTGATAACGGGAATAATCTTCCAAATGTTGGATTTTTTCAAGACCCTCTGGATGCTGAGTTTCAACAACGATGCTCTTTTTACCTTAATTGAATAAAATGTACATACTGTAGTTTCGGAAGTAAATTAAAAGATTGTCAAGTTTCTTATAACTGAAATAAATTGCAGGCTAACTAAAATAACTCCTATTTCAATTATACCATCAATTGAAAATGCTTTGTGACGACTACACATAAAAAACATATTACGGTAAAAAGTATTTGCACTCAGAGTGCATCATCGGTATATAAAATCCGTTTTACTGTAAAATGAATTTTTACTATAAAATTTTACAGCATCATTTTTACAGTCATATTTATTTAATTACTGTGATTCAGTAATTTTACAGTGAATATTACAGTAAAAATAACGGTATATCAGATATCTGTTTCGTAAAATTTTACGATAAAAATGGATTTTACGGTAAAATTTATCGGCACAATGAGTGCTGATATTTTTTACCGTAATTTAAAGAGGAATTTTTGACAGTGTATGCATTATCTAGAAACGATAAGAAGTAAATTAAAAATAGAGTCTAAATTAGGCTGTCACTCTGTGCGAACTACTTACAAGAAAAGTTTTGACGTTACAAAAAATGTTCTCTTGAAATACATTGATTGAAGAAATACTATTTGCTTGAAAAAACATCATAAGGGAAAATATTAAGTCTCAAATATCGCAATGATACAATATAATTTGATATTAATTAACTATAATACTGTATAGATCATGATTTCAGTATTGGTAATATTGTTTTCATACACAAAAAGAGGCTCAAGCAATCTCAGGAAGTTTTATTCCGAGAGACTATAAATGTATTAAATCATTTTATTAATAATCATGCACAAATAAAAATGCAATGTTTATTTAAACTTATGTATATAACTAGATTTCATTTAAACACTTACTTATACATATTAGTTGCGAAGATGTTGTGGCAGTTCCCATACTGTTTGTAGCTATACAAGTGTAAGAACCGGTATCCCTGGCATCTACACCTCTAATTGTCAACGATACATATCCGAAGTTGAAAAATGTGGAAATTCTGGAACCTGTAAAAATTATGAAACCCTCATTAGCATTATTATGTATTTTCGCTTTATTGCATTACTAATATTTGTCAGCTATACCCAGTAGTTATACGCATGTTTATATTTTTTTCTGATATTAGATGCGTGTCAGTTTACTACCATAAATCTAGCTCCAAAGAGGGTTTCAAGTATGCTTACGCAAACAAAGAAAAGTAGCATGTCTGACAACCCTCATATAACCAAAACTGTTTAACCATATTTATACAATTGATATATGAACCACATTTATACAATCCTATTAAAAGAACATGGACAGTGCATGTAAAAAAGGATATCTATATTTCAGGAGGGATTTGCAATCGCGCGGACTGACGCTTCGAGCCAAGCTGTAACAGGACAAAACAATAACCAAAAAGTCATTAAGCATCATTAGCATGGATTAGTCGCCCCCATGTGTCAATAGCTGTCGATCAAATCAAAAAACGGATTGCACTAAAATCCTTAGCCTTGCCTTTCTCTAATTAGTCAATGAAGAGGAATTTACCTAACAGCAACTTTGATGAGACACTTATAAGTGATTAGATTCTCCATTTGCGTAGTGTTACACACATTTAGTGTTATCCCTCAAGTAGATCAGGTGGAAAAAAATGACGTAGAGTGAAAAGGCGCTTAGATATTTATTAATTCAACAAGCAATATAACACTCAAGTAGGATTTAAACGGAAATACGTCAGAAGGTTTTTACAAATCAAAGATCTATATAATACAGACAAAAATGCCATAGAAACAATAAAAATGTGAATCATAATCATGAACACAGTAAGAATTGAAAGAGAAAATTTATTTCCAATAGCATCAAAACAAAAGCTCTGAATGAGGTAGTATAACGTTCGCAAAAATAATTGGAAATGAAAGAAAGCAGCTCGTCATCGAGCTATTCAGATAAATTCAATCTAAAGACATTGGATGTAAAAGCACAACGTTTTACTTAACCACCTTTTCACAAAACATAACACGAGTTCATACAGCTTAATGGGTATTAAAACTTATTAAAAAGAAAAATAATCACACTTTAGGTGTTGAAAAAGAAATATTTGTTATTTTTCACAACTTCCATTCTAATGCAATAGTGGAAAAGACAAACTACATTCATCTTAGTGAGACATTCTTAAAAATATCCCGAAAGTTTATTGTCGCACATTATAAATCTGTTGAAACTATAAGCACTTACTTGCTTCGAGAGGTTTTCCATCTTTCAACCATTCTACTCTCATTGTTGAATCACCACATGGTTCTAATCGGGCTTCAAAATGGGCCATTTTTCCTTCATTCAGTTCAATTTTTTGAATTAATTGAGTTTTAAAATATGGCTTCTGCTTAATTGTTTGGTCGATTTCAACAAATGTTTGTCGCTGCTGCATCTGATAGGCTTCAAGTTCTTGAGTTTTCTGGATGTAGCTTTGTTGCTCTGGAATGCCCAAGCTTGATGTCACTTGTTCCGTAACTATAAGGGAATATTTTCATTTCAGTTTATTCATAAATGCGTTTACAAAGATCGAAAAATTTGGAATTGAGAGAATATTTCGTAGATAATAGTAGAAACCAAATCTTGTTTCTATAATCTTAAGACATTATTAAATTTGAAATGGATTTGCATAAAAATGTAAATAAATAGAAACGTAAGTTTGTATTAAATGTTTTAAAAAACAGTTATTTTCGTACTCTACTGAAATAACTATGTCACATTCATAATCATATGCAATAACTAGTCAAAGTCATATTTTGTTTAAGCTTCAATGATATTTGTGATTATTATTATTTATAATCGTGATTATCATTATTGACAACCTCAAAAATGAATTAATAAATGGTCGTATACACTTAAATGATTCAAAAAACTTTAATGTTATTCAAAAACTTCGCAAGGACAAAGAAGTTTAAAAATTCATTTTGAAAAGGACTTTATTGAATTTTATAACAAGCTTTGTCTAATATATTTAAACTCAGCAAGGCAAGTGTATTTCTTTACCTTTAATTTTAAGAGTTGCAGTTGAAATAGCTTCCCCCTTTTGATTAGAGGCTTTGCACATATACACTCCTGAATCTTCAGCTCGCACATAAGATATATTCAATGCAACATAGCCAAAACTGAAAGTGGTGCTAATTCTTGTTCCTAAAAAAATATAACATATCTATGTAATTTACAAGTCAATTACTTAAAAATATGCAAGGAATACTATTCGATGATATTTTTATTTTATAACCGTCGTTGAACAGCCGACCCAGTTTTGCGTTTATGACTATCAATGTTCACCTCCGTAGCCTTGTAATTTTGACCCCAATCCAGAAGACAAGAAAACTCTCAAGAAGACAAGAAAGATCAAGTATTGGGAGAAATTTGTCTTCTCGGAGGACTTTTTAGATGGAACTAAAGAGCAGTTGCTTCACATGGAGAGGAAAACTATGAAAACCTCCCATGGTTGGCCTGATACCAAGAGAACTCTAACCCACGATCCATCTACTACTTAGAATATTTTACTTCGGCACTGTGTCTGGCACTATTAACCAGCTATATCTGGGATTCGAACCCGGGTCACCTCATTGGACGGCAAATGCTTTATACCCTGAGCCACCACGACTCTATTCTACGATATTGCCATGATAGGTCAAATTCATAGGTCACGAGAGTCTATTATGAATATATTTATTCTGTCATGCAGTAGTTGTTATGAATATCGAGGTGAACATTTCTGCAAATATTCCCTCACGTCTGCAAAATATTACTTTACAAACTGCCCACCCCACTATCAAATCTTCGAAAAATGTATCTATCTGTCAACTTTTTCGGAGTAATATGTCAAACATTACTTATGTAAAGTCGGGTCCGTAGTTCATTAATTATTGGAAAGTGAATAAAGGTAATTTAATCATTACAATGTAACAAAACATTACTTGATCATTAATAGGATTAACGAAGATCAGTTAAAGTAATGGCTCATTGAAGAACATTATCCTAAAACTTATCTAAAACTTAATAAAAAAGCAAGATACTTTTCATTTATATAATAAAACAAGAATTAAAAAAATATGTAGTTGAATTTCCTAAATACTCAAAAGGGTAAATAATCTAGTAAAAAGGGCGAAATACTCAAAGAGACTAATTCTATTCAAGCAATGTTTTTGTAAGAATCTATGACGTACCTGCTGTAAGAGCTTGTCCGTTGAAAAGCCATTCCACTTTCATGGTTGGGTCACTGACAGGTGTTATTTGGGCTTCAAAGTGAGCAAAACCACCTTCAACAATATTTTCTAAAGAATGCAACGGCCTAATGAAGACAGGCAATTGAGAGACGACTTCTTCAATAGATTCTTGGCGTTGGTATTTCTCATAGTCTTCAAGGTGGCGAATTGCGTCCATACTCTCAGGGTGTTGAGGAGCTCGTTCAATTTTAGCTCGTGCTGTAAATGAATAGTTTTTGTCCTAAGTTCATTTTTTAAATTCATTTAAGACTACTAAAATCAGGAGACATTTATATCTTAAATATAAAATGCTTTAAAATAAGCCAAACAACGCGGTTAACACTAGAAAACTTAGTATGTACCTATATTGCCCAAAAGCAGTCAAAATGACTGCATTGTGAAGGAATAACTAATATGTAAAGAAAATTTGCTTAAATAATTTTTATTATTTTTTATATTATTTACACTTATATAACAAGTTATTAGTAAATACTACTAATAAAAAAATTTACTTCACTTGGGAAAAAAAATTATGCATGATTATTTATAAATTTTTTGCAAATGAAAAAGCAGTCAAAATTATTTCCTTGGGCAATCTAGTGCTAAAGCACAAATAGTAGCACAAAAACATACTTCAGTTTCGGTTCTATAAACAAGAGCCTACCGTAGAAAACGTGCAGAACCATTCACTATAATTTACGTTCCACTTAAATTTCCATGGCAATTTTTCCAGCTAGTGGCCATTGGAGACCAAAACGTACAGAATCAAAATACATTTTTCATTCAAAAAATGAAGAAAACGGCGAGGGGAAAGCCAATAACAGTTCATAACACAAACGGTTACGGCATGCTGTTATAGTGGCAAAATTGTTAGTTTAGAAATGTTAAAGAAAATAAAATTATAAAGGAGCCGGACCACTTATATCGAGACCACTAGTACTTCTCTGACATAACACAATATTGGCCATGACAAGTGCTAAATAGGATGTTCTAGAAATTTCTAGATCAGCATGAGAGCTTCGCTAATTGGTGTTTCACATTTTGTGTTTCAGCACTCAAATTAGCTTTTTGTTTATAGAACCTAAACTAAAGTTCACATGCTTCTGCGATTTTTATTTGCACTTTATTCACGTTGTTTCAGATTTATTCATATATAGCACAAAGTGTAACTTATTTTCATTCTGATATTAAGTCCTGTTTTGTACTTACGAACGCATCGCAGAGTGGCAGTTGTTGTAGCCTCTCCTGCTTCATTTATAGCCCTACACATATAAACACCAGAGTCTTCCGAGTATGCGTGTAAAAGCGTCAGAGCAACGTATCCAAAATTGTAAGTTGTCATCACTCTTGAGCCTGGAATTAAAAAAATAATTATTTTACATTAAATATCGCTTTATTTAGTTATTTCCCAATTATTTTATCAACTTGTTAATAATTAGGAAATACATTAAGGACGTAATAAAATAAAACTCAGTTTTTTGTTAAAATTTAATATAGTACCTGACATTTTAACGGCAGATACTTAACGAAAATTTATATGCTTTTAGGTGTTTTCGTAAATTACATAGTTTATTTTGGTGCTTTTGAACAAATTTTAAACAATCATGTCAGCAGGTAAAATCAGTAGCAAAGTTTTCTAGCGCTAAAAAATTTTTTTATGCAGAAAATGTAGCACAATCATTATCGTATGACATATTGCAATAAAACGATTGTGGAATAAGGCTAATGCTAAATATTTATTCTAGCACGGAAGTTCAAAGAACACTGCTTTATATAATTTTAAAGTTGCAAGATCTCCATGTTTCATCTTATCAATTTGTATATGATTTGTAGAGTTTGTCGTGAGAGCTGTATTAAGTTCATGGCTATATGTGTGGTCTCTCCTGTGTTGCTATTAGCAGTCGAGTGTGTGCAGGATCCTAATGTGAGTAAATGAGACTGATAAGCAACAGCGCGAGGAAGAGGATGACGCCGTCACAAATAACAAGTCAACTGTTCAATGTGAACCATCCATCGAAGTGGACATTATTTTCTATATAAACAAGTTCATATCACGTCCGCAGGACACCAATGTTGAGAAAGGAGTTATCGGCAGTGTCAACCTTCATCTATCAAAAGTTACCATATCTTATATACTAGTGAATTGCAGTTTACTAATTGTAGTGGTAGTTACGCCATAGAGTCGTTAAGATTCACGTAAGTTTAATTCTACCACCTAATTGCTTAAAATTTAAAAAATAGTTGCATAAAAGTTTTATTTATAATTTAAAAAGCACATGGAATCAGAATTCAGACCATCAATCGGAATCCAGACCATAAGAGGTTACTGGCTATTTTTGCTGCTGCGATTTTTTGTTCCGTGCATTTTATTTTATCATTTAGCAATATTCTAATTGATAGTCAACGAAATCATGTCCTGCATAACAGTTATTTTCTTTTAGAAAGAATCTGATTTCAACGAAATAGAAACGAACGCCAGTTAAATAACATCCCCGAGTTGTTCAAATTAAGCCCGCAGTGGGCAATATCACTTACTGGCTTCAACGGGTTTTCCGTTGACGTACCACTCAATGACCATTGTAGGATCGCCAATTGGTACAAGTCGAGCATCGAAGTGAACTCTGTCTCCTTCCTGAAGGGAGAGATCTCTAATGTGAGTTGTAAAAGCCGGCTTTTGGGGTGGTCTCTCTTCTTCTGGAGCTCTTGCTCTCGGTGCTGCCCTCTCGACAGGTTTAAGCCACACTACTTCGCGAGGCGGTGAACCCCTGCAACATTTATAACACAATATCACAAAACGTGACAGAAGGCAAAATTGTTACAGTTTATTTTACTTTCAGAATAGGTGTAAGATAAAATCTGCGTTAAACACCTTTTGTAAATAACTGCTTAAGATAGCTATTTTAAGATGTTTCCTCTCCTTTTTCTTTTTTTTTCCGGAACTTACCTCTGTGTAATACATAGTCAATTAAGAATTTTGTATAGTACACGGACTAGCGAACAAATGACAAGTCTGTTAATTGTTTTCGCACTCTTGCAAGGAGAATTGTACCACTACAAGGAAGGTAAAGGAAATGTAACTTAGTGGATGTTTCAAAGATTACTTTAGTCCAAACCTTCACCATTGTTAGCAAAACTGAAGTGCTTGTCTGATATTTGAAAATCCTCTCAGCAGTCGCATTTACTTATCAGTGTAAAAATACTGTTTAAAAAAATTATAATTATAAGCAAAACATTTGTTTTTGAGAAAAAAAACAAATTTGCAATGAAAGATATTTGTTTTATTAACTATGTATTTAAACGAAATTATAACTGCATTTTTAAAACGGCTAATAAGTTTGCTTTAAATGAATAAAGTTTAAAATTTATATATTGAAAACATCAAAAAGTTTTCGCACTTTTTGAAATCAAATTGATGGGAAAAAAAAGTAACAAACTTGTATTTTTGAGCTGCAGTTAAACAAAATTTGACTTTGTTTACCAAGCAACTTCAGTTCTAAAGAACTGTAAAGTATATTTTTAAAAATTTCATAATTAAAAAAGCTGTCAAAACGTTTACAAGCTTTAAATTAATAGATTGATACATTTCCTTATTATTGTTGATATAAAACTACTAATACAGTAACTATAAGTTTTAAGTGACACATTTATTTTGAAGATAAACAAATGATCTTACTGAGGTTCAATAACTTTTTGTGGTTTAGGTAAATAAAGACGCCATGGCTCTGTAACAGGTGCAGATTCACCTAAAATACAATTAACAATTGTAACGAAGATATTTATTGAAGGCTTCAAAATAAAGAAAAAGTATTTAAATTAATTGACTTACTCTCCACATATAGTCGTGCGCGTGTTGCTGTACTTCCAGCTTGGTTTTGAGCAGTGCACTGATACCATGCTGCATCCGATGCATTTACTTGATTGATATAGATTGTTGAAGCGCCATCATTGGTTTCTAACGAGTCAAAAACGCATATTAGAAAAAAATATTTAAAATTCAAAAGCGTAAAATAACTTTTAATCAATAAATAGAAGTAAATTAATTGAATCCTAAGAAATTATTCTATTAAAACTAAACAGTGAGAATTACTATTTTGAGAAATCTTTGCATACACTGTATTTGCTGAAAAGTTGCGTACACTGTATTTGCAATTGCAAATAAGTTATTAGAATACATATTATTTAGGAAAAAAATATATTGTTCCTTCCAAATCACCCATACCTTGTGAAAATTAGATCTCAACAAAAATAACTAGTTGTGTATGAAGTTTTGCAAGCTTTGTTGACTAAAAGTGTCCATATTAAAAAATTGCAATAATAACTATTTTGAGTTAAAAAAAACATTTGTATATATGTTATGCAAAGTTGATGTATAGACGGTAACTTTCATTTCAGTGTATTATAAAAGTTATCAATTTTTAACAGTTTTCTTGTGAGATTTTAAAATACTAACTCATTTCATCACAAAACGTATTGATTTCTGAATACTTGGCCCTTGGAGATTTCGTTGAGTTGAATATTTAACTATTTATGCCTAAAAGCCTAAAAATTTCTAATATTTTTCATTTGTGACTTTTTCGAAGAAACATGTCATTATTTCACAGTATTTTATCTTTTAAGGCTTGAATTAAGAATTAAATATATCACAAAACATACTAGTTTCTCATTATTTAGTCTATGAAGATTTACTTGAATCAACATTTCATTATATTACAGAACGTTGTCGGTTTCTGAATATTTTGACCTTTGAGGTTTCCTTGAATTAACATTTAATAGTATTACAAAAACTTGCTAATTTCTGAATATTTTGTCAGTTGAGGTGACCTTGAATTGACATTTTATAGTTTCGCAAAAAGAACAGATTTCTGAATATTTTGTCCTTTGAGGTTTTCTAGAATTAACATTTAACAATATCACAAAAACATGCGTATTTCTGAATATTTTGTCCTTAGTGGTTTCCTTGAATTAACATTTCATAGTATCCCAAAAATGTGCTGATTTCTGAATATTTTGTCCTTTGAGTTTACCTTGAATTAATAGTATCACAAAACGTGTTGATTTCTGAATATTTTGTCATTAGAGGTTTTCTTGAATTGGCACTTAATATTATTACCCCAAACGTGCTGATTTCTGAATATTTTGGTTTTGGAGGTTTTCTTGAATTAACATTTAATAATGTCTGCCTCATAAGAAAAGATTTATAATTACTTGCCCTCAAAACGTATCACTCGGCCTCAAAATGGCCTTTAATTTATCAAATTTAAACTTATAAAACTTAAATGTATTTAACATATTAAAAGTATTTATGGTTTAAAGAAATTTTTTCCTGCATTGTATTTGCATGGAATATAATTTTAAAAAGAAATATTTTCCTCCAATATTTTGCAAAAGCTAAGGGACATAACTATCGAAATACCGAACATAACGTAAAGTATAAAATAAATTACGCATTCTTAAAAATATTCCAAACAGTTTATACCTATTAGAACATGGGGTGGAGAAGACTGAACGTGAACCCCATCTCTTTGCCATGTGAGATTTGGAATGGGAGTGCCAATAGCCCTGCAATGCAAAGTGACTGGTTCCCCATCTCGCACGTGCAAGCTTTGAAATCTTTCAACAAACTTTGGTGATACAACTTGCTCCTTTTCTGTGACATAAATAAATTATGATTAAATGTTTAAAAAGACTCACGATAGATTGAAAAACAATTTATTTAAAGACTCACGATAGATTGAAAAACGATTTATTTCAAATAACACTGGGTAGCCGTAATGGCTTTTTGTATATCTCTTTCATAACACTGAGAAAAAAAGTATGGTTAAAACCACCAGAATAGGGTAATATTTACAGTGTTTCTGGCTCTATGGGAACACAAAAAAGTTAGGTATTTTTTACAGCAGATTTTTAATAATGATTTTGGTAAAAGTAACAATAAAATATGGTTTTATAATGTGTGATAAAATTTGGTAATTGGGACAAAATTTGGTAATTCTATCATGTTACTTTCGAACCTGGCGTAAAAACCATTTATTTGGTTGAATTAATTTTCCAGCTTTGTATTTTTTATGAATTACATGGTAATCAGAACAATAATTTTGAAAACCATAATTTCTGGTAAATCGTTAGCATTTGAAGGAAAAATTGCCAAATGAATGGTTTAAATACCGTATATTTTGGTTTAATTAACCATAATTTTTATTATTATTTTTACCAGAAAAGCCATCCCTATACAGTTACCCATTGATTTTACCAGCATTTTTTTTTCTCTGTGTAAGCTAGCAGAGAAGTGCTAATAAGCAACACAAATACTTAAAAAAATAAAAATTTAAATAGAAATTGAAAAATATTTAACATAATTTAATAAAATATTTTGTTAAAAAATGAGAAATGTGTATAATAATTCCCATTTATTTTTTAAAAAATGATGATTTTACCGTACTGAAAGATCAACATCGTAGAATTCTGCTTCTAAAGTATTTATACTTTGCAATATTGCCGGTGCATTTTCATATAAAAAATTAATGCATTTTTTTCACTAATAAAATGAATTAAATTTTTTTTACATGTTTGGATATCAGTCAAAATTTGTTTTAAAGAATCAACAACAAAAAGTATTTTAAATTTCGAAGTAAATATTCAACATATATTCTCTAAGTAATTACAAGGCAAAAAGTACGTAACTATTATGAAACATAAAAATCTGATTTAAATATTTTCCCAATTAACTAAGACCCCGCGCTGAGCAGAGACATAAAGAGGACGACATACAAGGGGAGAAACGTTTCATTTAAAATTCTTTTTCCTCTTCATTACTAATTTAAAAGAAAGAAAAAGTGAGTTCAAGCAAACCTGAAGTAAGCCCTGAAGCTCCAATTGCTGAAAAAAATTCAAAATATCAAAATACAAACAAATTATTGAAAGATGTCTTCTCCGTTGCATAATCTTAAGTTATTTTCATTTTGATAATCTTAAAAATTCTTTTCAATGTTTGAAACTTCATAGTTTACTCTAAGTTTGTCTGAACTCACTTTTTCTATACTTTAAATTATTTTTGAAGGTGAAAGAGAATTCGCAATGAAAGGTTTTTCCCATGGTGTTGCATCCTCTTGAAATCCTACAAGTGGTACAGCAAATGAACACAATTGGAACATTGTTTCTCCCCAATGGATTATTTCCTTTGTCTAACAACATAGAAAAACTGGTTTTGCCACACGGAGAAGATTGCGAGTGAAAATACGATTTTTTACCTGCAGAAACATCAGTGAGTTGAACATGCGAATATTTGTTTCATATGAAGTTTTTATTACTTATTTTCAATTTGTTAGTAAGTGAAGAATTACTTAATAAATGAACTTAACTGATTCTTTGATATATTTTCTTACAAAATCATTTCATGTAATTTTTTTAAAAAAAAGACTAGTTCATAAATTTTACAAAAAAATCTATTTGTCAAACTAATTTTAACAAATTATTTAAAATTTTTAATGGTAAAATAATTTTAAAAGGAGTGTAAGAATTCAAAATCTTTAAAAGTACTGTTTGAAAATTACATAAAATTTTCTTTTTACCTATAACATGTAAACTGACATTAAATGTTGCTTCTCCACTTTTGTTCCTAGCAACACATGTGTATGTGCCGGCATCAGTCCTGCTGGTTGTAGTAATCATGAGAGCGTGAACCCCTCCCTCATTCACCAGAACCTTGTGAGTTGCATCGTCCACAACTTGGTTTCCATTGAGGTACCACGTGACATCCGGGAATGGCCTGCCACTGACTCGGAGATCAAATCTGACCATCTTGCCTTCCGTGACCTCCTTGTCACCAGGCACTTTGACAAAGTTGGGTTTCAGAGCACGGCTGGCACCAGTTGAGCTGATGTCCACATCATTCTCCTGAACTGTCCTCTGTACAGCAGTAGCAGAGGTGGTCACGCCGTCACTGAGGGCGAAGGATTGGGGTTGAGATGTTGTTATGTATTGTGTTTGGTTAATGTTATTTGCTGCATACTGCTGTTGCTGCTGTATCTGCTGCTGCTGTTGTGAGTATAGGTTAGTGGTGGTCATAGCTTGGGTTTGCACAGATGTTTGGGAGTACATTTGTGAGTGGGTTAATTGCTGTTGCTCGTGACTATAGCTAAATGCTGTGCTTTTAGGGATAGGGGAGGAAGGTGTTACAGAAGAAAAACTGGTTAGGGTGAAGAAAAAAGTAGAAAGAAGAAAAAATTAAATGCTTACTAATCTACCATATCACGCTTATCTACTTCAAATTGGTCACATATGAATGTGAACTAAATTGATTTTAACAATTTTTCTTACCATTTTTAAAACAAACAAAAAACTTATTTTTAAAGGGAATAATAGTATTTTAAGTCTTTTAAATAACTATTTTTAAGTATTTACAAGTATCTACAAGTATTTTGTAACTAATTCCTTTACTAATTGTAATTCTGTCTCATCTATAGACTATTCTAAAAAGCTATCTATAAATCCAACTTATTGTATGTATTAGGTAAAGCAAGCAGAAGCATTAAAAGCAGAACAAAAACTATGAAATAGAAGACATAGTTACAAAATAATCTATCAATTTTATTTTTAAGTACAATTAAGTATTTTGCGATGAATCAGTGTTTAAGGCACTAAACTGGACTACAGCAAAGAACTGTAGTTCGAACCTATCCAACTTCAGTTCGATTGGTACCAGTTTGACTGGAATGTAAAAGGGGTCTGGGCGCGTTTATTGACCATATTGTTGGCCATGAAATTGAGGAAACTTAACCTCTATGACCCCCTGATCTACAACGGGCTGTTGTGCAAAAGATTTTTTTAATGCTCATTTAAAATTATTTTCACAAATTAAAAAGGAAAAAATTTGCAATTATGCTAAAATTTCATTTAGTTTTACTTTTTGTACTTAAATTAAAACACCAGTGAATGGTGAATAAGACTACTTTTAATAAGACTTTGCTCATAAAATATTATCCCATAATTTTATAAATCTTTAAGATTTTTAGAACTATAGAATTCTTATCTGAAATATTTCAATTAATATCTGTCGTGACATAAGGTACTTTTCAAAATAATATGTATTAGCTGCACAAAAAATAAAAAGGCACCAATTAAAATATGGCTAAAAATTGCATTGGTCAAAAACTTGCAATACATACATTTTCTGTTGCTGTAACTGTTGTTGGAAAGATGTCGAAACTGGAACTCCCACACCTTCTATAACAAGATGTGCTGAACAAGCAATGCGACCATTTGTATTTTCAGCCAATAATGTGTAGTAACCAGCATCTTCTGGTAGAGCCATATGGATATGTAATGTGGCTAGGTCATTTGCATAGTTAATCTTGAAACGTTGAGATGCAATTATTCTTTGACCGTTTCTGAACCACGTTATCTATAAAATACATTTCAAAGGAATTTAATTGAAACAAAAATTTTAAAAAAAGCTTTGCCGTTTTGTTTAAGAAAATACCACAATAAATAAAAACTTGAGCTCTTAATGGTATTGACTGATGCTAGAAATTTAAAGGAATGTGAACATATAAATCATAAATTAGTTATATTTTCACACAAAATATTAAAATGTAGCTTCTGTTTGCAGAATATAGTTAATCTTCGTAATTTTGTAATTAAAACATACTTATCATTTGATAATTGAATAACTGTAAGCGGCATTGCGTGTGGGTCAGTCAATCAGGTTCTACACACACACGCGACAACGCTTAAAATTAAATCTGATCCGAAAATTGAGTCAATGTGGTTATAAACCAGCTCCTTAAAGCTATAATTGTAACACTTTATGCACAACCACGTGATCATATACAACTATGTGATTAATTTCAAATACCCAATTATTAAATAAACAGATTTGTAGGGCTATTACGAGTTGTACCAGTTGTACTTTTAAAATATAATTTAGTATTAAACAAGTGTGTTTGATACATAGAGAATAAGATTTTGTCAATAGATTTTTATGAGCTGCGACAGCTCAGAGGATAGAGCGTTCGCCTTTCAATGAGGTGAACCAAGTTCGAATCCCAGCGATAGCTGATGGATACGAATCCGCATCCGGCTTGCACCGACCAAAGATCTGACGCGAAACATCCTCAGTGGTAGACGGATCATGTGTTAGAGTCCCTTTGTCATCAGACTAACCGTGAGAGGTATGCGCGGTCTTCCTCTTCATGTAACGCGAAAGTGATTTAGTTCCATCAAAAAATCCTACACGAAGACAAATTTCTCCCAGCACTTGCTCCAGCAGTTCTCTTGTCTTCTGGATTAGGTTCAAAATTACAAGGCTACGGTGTTGAACATTAGTAGTCGTAAACCTAAAAATTGGGTTGGCTGTTCAACGACGGGTACAAAAGTTAAAAATAGAATTTTTTATGTATGGAAATATCTGAGAATTTAATTGAAACATTTTTAAGCATAGTTGGCATGTTTTTTTAGAATTGAAACAGTTTTTCTAAGAAATGAGGAAAAATAAAAATAAAATGTTGATGAGCAAATTAAACTTAAAAGCTCTCTTATTAAGTAAACAATGGGTTTTTCACAGTTTTAGAATAAACGATGAGAACTTTAACAGTTTTTAAAAATTTAATAAGAAAAAAATCAGGTTTGATTAGCGCACTGTATCGAAAAATAAAGAAATTAATATTTTTACTTACTTTAGGCTTGGGATTGCCTGTAATTTTAGCTTGGAATGTAACTTCAGATCCCTCGAGCAATTTACTATTACGAGGCCGCGTTAATATCTGTGGAGCACTTGGATTTTGTGTTTTATCTAGAGCTGCAGGTTTTTCAGAGACTTCTTCACCGGGCAGCCTCCTGAAAAGTGATTCTCGAAATTCGACTTCTCGAAGCAATCGATATTCAAAGGTATCGACTCGGAAACTCTGAAACAAACATAATATTCGAATTCATTAATATGTAGCTGCAATGTGAGCTTAAAAAAAGGAAAACAAAATGAATTCACTTACTTCTGAACCACTATAGTACATAGGGCAGTTGGGGTCAGTGTCATATTCTGCAGATGTGGTCCTCTGGTACATACCGTCCATTTGTTGTTGCTGTACATAAGATTGGACATATGTACCACTAACTTGCTTTTGTTGGTCAATAATAGTGTGTTGAACGTTACTCATAGGTACTTGTCGGAAGGTATCTTGAGATACTATTTTTCCTAAACGAAGTAATAGCAGAGGTTGGTAAATAGTTTTTAATTTAAAATATAGCGTGGAATTTGCAAATGAAAAGATTAGTGGATTAACAATTTTAAAAACCTTTAGTGGTAGAAAGTGAGAAATATCATTAATTACGTCATTTTCTATTGAAAATACAGTCGTATTCGCAGACAGTAAAATAACTTTAAAATCCAAATACACAGTAAAAAATTCCGGATCAAATTGCTGTGAAGAGTATCGGTACTCAGGGTGCCAGTACTATTTACAGTAAAATCTAATTTCACAGTAAAAGTTTATGGAACAAAAAATCTGATATACCGTGATTTTTACAGTAATCTTTACTGTAATAATATTTACTGTTAAATATTACTGTAAAAATCAGGTATTAAATTTTACGTAAAAAATTGACTTTACGATAAAATGAATTTTGCACTCAGAGTGCCAGTACTTTTTACCGTAATTTGATTCGGAATTTTTTAGAGTGTACCTTTTCTCGTGCTCTTCCACTAATCGATTCAAATGAAAAGCTATATTTGTTTCACACTTTACCTTTTACATCTCTTTGTATGGATACTGTCAGAGAGGCTTCTCCAGCGCAATTGACTGCGGTGCATGTATATTCACCATCATCATCCACTGTGAGGCCTTTAATATCAAAAACGCACATTCCAGTGGAGGAATTGTACGAAACATGGCGTCTGTAAAATAATACCAACATAACTAACACGTTCATTCCTGATTAAACTTGATCTAGCATTACTGGAAAGCAGTTTTGGTAGATGACTTATAATGCACAATTTCTCACCTGTTATCATTTTTGATAGGCATTCCTCTTCTTGACCATACCACTTCAGGTTGAGGATTACCACTGACCCTGCATTCGAAATGGGCATCACCCCCCTCGATGAAGCGTCCCATCGTAGGGGGTTTTTCGAATATCGGAGGAGTTGCATTCAGGGGCCTTTGCCCCTGCTGGTGCCTGTAAAATCAAATAACGAATTTCAAATTGATGTTTAAAATTTACATTGAAAATTAGAAATAATCATGATAGGTTTCCAAGCATGCTTCAATTAGCTGTCTGAAGGCAAAGCAATCTTAACTTGTGTAGTTAAAATATAGTTGACACCTTTACAATACCAAGGAAACCAGTTGACGTAACTATAGCATGGTCTCCCTGATCGAAAATGATATAAAGCACATAAATGTTAGTAAAATATTTCTATTAAAAAACAAGGATTTAAATAAACCTAAAATTTTTGCTTTTTGTTTATTACAAGAACTAAAACAAAATTTAAAGAAATGGTATAGAAATTTTATTTGTCAAAATGTCATTCTGATTTCTAATAATGATGGTATCAGAATTATTTCAAGGTCATTTCAAAGAGACTGAATTGGTTCGATAATCACGACATTATTTTTTAACACGAGTTTCTTTTTTTCTTTTTTTTTTACTCTATTAAGTGCTAAGAGCTCCTTGGTAGAACATGTAACCTGTTAAATGAAATTTTAAACAAAACCCTCGCTTTTTTAGCACAAAAATAAATTGTGCAATATTGTAACTATAAAATATTCATTTTATTTTCTACCAAGATTTTTAATACAATACCAAGGAATACCATTGCTGGGTTTTCATAGGGAATATATATTTTCCTGGCCGCTCTGAACATTTTCTTAGTATTTTGATGCATTTAAAATTTATTTTATAAATCACACAAAATGACGGTCAGCATGTTTTTCAATTAAGCTTTTCAAATTTTTACTTGTTCTCACTAATATATAGATTGAATCTTGTGTTAAAAAACCTGAGAATGTCGTATTTATCTTTTAATATACAGATTTCTGAATGTATTTCTGGAAATGTAAACCATAATTATCTGAGCAGAAGCTATTTCTTTACCACTACGGTAGCGGTTTGACGGGAAATCGCTACACCGGTGCTACAAATATGAAGCATTACATAATCATTTACTTGGTTATCTGAGTAGCATAAATTTTCTTAAAGGTATATAGATTTTCACAAAATGTTACTTTTAGGATAACTATTTAGGTAATAGTGTTTAAACCGGTGCTACAAATATGAAGCATTATGTAATCATTTACTTGGTTACCTGAGTAGCATAAATTTTTCTACAGGTATATAGTTTTTCACAAAATGTTACTTATAGGATAACTATTTAGATAATATTGTTTGAAAAAATTCAATATGAAGTAAATATTATTCACAAAATCTCCTTAATTTCATAAAATTCATCGAAATTTAGTTATCTGCTTATTCGCATTAAGTAATGCAATAGTAATTTTTTTTAAATATTTCTTTACTTTATCAAATATTCAATCCTAATGGAGAAAATATATTTGATATTAAACGATTACTCTATAGAAAGACGGGTAGCAATAAATTTTTTCAGAAAGCTATTCAAAAGCTTCTCATCACGCGTTTAACAAAAAATTAAAACGTTACAAAGAATTTCGGTGAAAAACATTTAAAAAGAAAAATGCCTAAATTTAAAAAAATCTTTAAAAAATATTATTTTAATAAAAAATGCAGATCTGCAACAAATTTGCCTCTTTTTTATTTTATAATAATTATTACAAATATTTTAAAAAAAGTTCTGGATTTTAAATATGCATCCGTGGGACATGCAAACATAAAAGTATACATGTAAATATATTTTTTAAAGTAATTAAGAAAATTACCAACATTCAAGAACTTTTATTACTAAAGAATAGATATTTGTCATACATTCGGCATATTTTGTAACTCAAAAATTATTTAATTAATAATCAATCAAGGTATTAAAAATCAAGCTTTTTTTTTATCTCTTTTCAATTTAAATGCATAGCTTCCCTTCTAGGATTTAAGTTTTTAAGTTTCAATAGATTAAGAAGAAAATATTCAAAAACATTATTGAAGAATAATTTTTATACTTTTACTTTAAACATTATAAAACATAGACCAGTGTTGAAAGTATTTTATTCTTAATTCTTTGATCTATTGGTTGCTTTAACAGCATGTAATTAATATATAATTAGTTTCACTCAATACTATGTATAACACTGAAAAAAAAGCATAGCCAAGACTACCAGAATATGATAAAATTTACCATGCTTCTAGATCTGTGGAAACACCAAAAAGTTGTGTAATTTTTACCGAAACGCTTTGGTGATGACTTTTTATAAAATTCACAATAAAATATGTTTTTAATACCGAGTCGTTTCATAGTAAATGTAGTAAAATTTGGTAATTTTATTAATGGTAATATTTGGTAATTTTATACCTCAGAGCATGGCATAAAAGCCATTTATTCAGTTAAATTTATTCCCCAGTTGTGTATTTTTTACTAAATTTGTCGTAATAAAAACTATAATTTTGAAAACTAGAAATTCCGGCAAACTTTTACTATGCATGCGGAAAAATTTCCTAATGAATGGTTTAAATACCGTTTATTTTGATTTTTATTACCAGAATTTTGGATCTCTTTTTACCAGAATTTTGGATTTTTTTACCAGATATGTTATTACCATACAGTACGATAATTTTAAGAGATTTTTTCTTATCCAAAAATATTGTTTCTTAAATAAAATTGCATTTTAATAGCATTTTTTAAAGAAAATATTTTAAATCCTATATTTATAAAGCTTATTAAAAAATATACGTCCTTAATTTTTTATAGATAATGCTTATTATAAATAACATTAATTTATTTATCTATAAATCACAGATAAAGCGTCTCTTGTCTATTCAGAGTAATTCATTAAATACGCTGAAACTCAGAACAAATGTTTACAGATAGGTTTCAAAACTCTTTTAAGTAAAATATGTAAATAATTCAAAATATTAACGCATTAAAATAATTTAAACTTTCTATCGAAATGGAATGCAAATCGCCACTTTCTCTGATATTTTAAATTTAGAGATATTTTGGGAGTAGTTATGTAAATTTACTCATCCCCAGTAGTTATGTAAATTTACTAAGATATAAGCCACTTTCTAAAAACGAGACACTGATTTTAGCATGAAACACATCTCAGCGAGACGATGTTTATTCAATGAAGCAAAAGTTAAAAAAAAGAAGAAGACAGAGCAATATTTTGAGAATAAGCTTCCAGGTTAAACGAGCTCCCAAATAGGACAGAGAGAGCTGTTGCCAACAACCGCGCTGACGAACTCCAAAGCCTCGCGCCCATTCTCAAAAATAGAACTAGAAACAACATACAAAATGCAGCTTTTTTTTCTCTTCCCCTAACAGTTGTCGCAGCAAAGATTTCTAAAATACAAGCAAGGCGGAAGCTTAAGAGACAAGCACTTGATAGCATTTTTATTTATGAGCCCAGTTTCAGAATTAAAGATACAACGATTACATTTCACCAATTTAAGAAATGATAAAGATACAACGATTACATTTCACCAATTTAAGAATTGATAAGCCATATAGGACTTAGATATGATTGCACGCTGTAAATGCTGTAAAAAGAACCTTAAATTTTTTAAGTCGAATATAAATTTTACACTAGCCATTAGTAAGGAACGAAAAGGATTTGAAACGTNGATACAACGATTACATTTCACCAATTTAAGAAATGATAAAGATACAACGATTACATTTCACCAATTTAAGAAATGATAAAGATACAACGATTACATTTCACCAATTTAAGAAATGATAAGCCATATATGACTTAGATATGATTGCACGCTGTAAATGCTGTAAAAAGAACCTTAAATCTTTTAAGTCGAATATAAATTTTACACTAGCCATTAGTAAGGAACGAAAAGGATTTAAAACGTGCTGACTAGAAACATGAACATGACTAAAAACGGGATGACTAAATTGATTTTGATATTTTTATACTCCTATCTTCCACATTAGTGATTCGACAAAATTCGATGGATTTTTTTCTTCAGCTGAAATATTGATTTTTAACACCTAATGTCATACTTTATAGACTTCAATTTTGACAAAGATTCTGAAATTTTATATTAAGGGTGATAATTTTGGTGCACTGGTTATATTATTAAAAAAAAAATTTTCCTTTAAATAATCTATTCGTATTTTTTCTTCTCTTTCAAAAAATTTTTATGCTTTCTCTTCTGTGTTTGGCATGAAAAGCTTTTCAATTTTTTTTAAAATTCTTATTTGATTTTTACTTATTATGTGTTTTTTTATTTATTATTTGATTTTTTCTAAGTCTTCAAATTTTGGCAACAGTTTAAAAGAAAATTTATTGAAAATTTGTGAAGTTTTATACACCAAAATCTTCATAGAGACATATGATACTTGAAATTAATCTCATCTGTTTGAAAAACTCCATATGAATTTCTAATAATAATACACACATTAAAATTTTAACAAAATAACATTTAATTTTTCTGTAAAATGTCTTGTCTAGACATCAAATTTTGATATAAATTACACTCAATGATTAACAGGTTGTCCACTGAACTAAAATTAATTGGTCCACTAACTCAATGTAACTGAACTCAATGTAATTGGTTCACTGAACGCATGGACCAATACTTAATATTGAAATCCAAAATAAAAACAATAACAAATTGAAATTTTAATAACAACCAAAGAGGAAAAAGATAAGCTTTTCGTACAATTCCTAGAGAATTGATTGGGGTAAACTATTTATCTCAACAGCTTTGGGAAAAAAATACAAAGATCAGACAATTTGTAGAAAAAGGAGATCTATACGCAAAAATTTGGAGGCGGGAGGTAACGACAATCAATAAGGAAAGAGAATATAATAAGTTACTGAAGTTTTCACGCTGAAAAATATCGGTTTTGTCCCTTGTTTCATTTCAATAAGTAAACTCTTTGGACAATTTCGGTTTCAATTTTAATGGTTATCACTGAAAATAATTATTCTAGTTTTGCTAAAAAAAAATTTCTCGCTTTTCTTATCTAAATGCTATTTTGCTACTTGTAAAATGAATTCTAAAGGGTTCAGACTTGACAAGGGTCTCAAAAACATAAACACACATTGAGAAAAAAGTATGGTCAAAACTACCACAATATGGTGAAATGTACCGTGTTTCCGACTACACCAAAAATCTTTGTAATTATAACCGAAACGTTTTGGTAATGATTCTGGTTAAACTAACAATAAAATATAATTTTATTGATAAAATTTGATAAATGTGGTAAAATTCGGTTATTTTATCTTGATACCTCAAAAAATAAATTATGAGATATTATAGGTATAAAAATCATTGATTCAGTTACTTTCAATTTACTTTTCAGTTTTGCATTTTTTACTAAATGTATAGTAATATTTTTGAAAAACAGAATTTCCAGGTAAGCCCCTATGAGGAATTAATATTGAGGTTTGACTGCATAATATTGACATTTTAACTATGTACAAACTAATATGATATTAAGGCATAATATTTTGCAAACAGTTCTGTTAGAGTTTAAAGCAGAGACAGCTATTTTTTTAAAAACAAATTTAGGGGTCAATAACGATTAAAAACTTAATGAAGATCGTGAAAAAAGAAACTATCTCAATAATGAAATACTAATTTGTATTAAACATAGCAGTCCCTCATTTACATAATATGTAATGCAACGTTCAGCCAAAAGAAAAAACCCGAAATATTGGGAATAAACAAATATTAAAAGGAAATAAAGGTTAAGAAACCTTGAAATCGGAAATAGCTTCTTACTTGAAGCGTAAATTTGACCACTGGGAATAACAACTGTGGGATGTTTGCCAACTGAGTCAGTAGATGCATCAGCGTGTTCATTGTTTTAATTTAAAATGGAATTTGCTTTAACAGAGGAAAAGATGATAAAAGGTGCCGATGTCATAGAAGAAAATCAGGAAAGAAAACTGCTTACACGTTTTATATCTATACAATATTTTGTACTACTCCAAAATCATTGGTGCTAGAAACCAGGGAGTTCATTGGTTAGGAGAACAAGAATTCAAGAACAAGTATTCAAAAAAAGAAATTCGCTTCTTGGATTAAGTCTATTGTTGCAGAGAAACTAACGCAACTGGTATAATTATTTTCTTTTCAATGTAGCATTAACTGAGAGCCGCGATTACAAAGTGGCTTAAGACACTGATATGTTATTCGAAAAAATAAGGCTTTATCATTCGTAGCGGATTAAAGCACATCTGGCTTTAGATTGATTGGTATCAACTAGTACAATTCGCAGTTCCAACTATATTACAATCAACAGATTATTTGTCTGGTCTGTAAATTATGGTGCTCTAACTTTCTCTTTTTCTTTGAATGATCAGGTTCAAATCTCAGTTTTGGTATTTTTTTATTACAGTCATAAGCTCTAATAATAATTCACTTCTTGGATTAAGTCTATTGTTGCAGAGAAATTAACGCAACTGGTATAATTATTTTCTTTTCAATGTAGTATTAACTGAGAGCCGCGACGACAAAGTGGCTTAAGACACTGATATGTTATTCGAAAAAATAAGGTTTTATCATTCGTGGCAGATTAAAGCACATCCAACTTTAGATTGACTGGTATCAACTAGTACAATTCGCAATTCTAACTATATTGCAATCAGCAGATTATTTGTCTGTAAATTATGGTGCTCTAACTTTCTCTTTCTCTTTGAATCAACAGGTTCAAATCTCAGTTTTGGTATTTTTTATTACAGTCATAAGCTCTAACAAGTATATTCAAGAAATAGCTCTAATAATAATATTCGCAGGTCAGCGGTAGTTGAATTCAACGTGACAAGAAACATAAAATAAACATTTATTGTTAATGCTATTGATTTCACATTAAACAATATCAAATACTTCTAATGTTTAGTTAAAAATGTAATTATTGATGACACTATTAATGTAAAACATACTGAATTATAAAAATTATTACATTCTTTTGAAAAAATTAATAGCTCATTTAAGTATTTAATTCGCTTAATGAATACTTTTTTAACATTAAAAGCTTTTGCTTAACTTTAAGTTCAGAAACTATACCTAGAATATTGTATCTAACTATATATTTATTGAAAGAAAAACCTTAAGCCTTCATATTGGAATTTGAAATATTTACTAATGATAATTATAATGTGATAAAATATTTACTTACATTAGCGGAGGTATCACCATATTTTCATCTGAAAAATAAAATATCACAAAAATTTAATATGAAACTAATGAAGACAATAAAATCATCATATAAATATTTAAGAATTATAATATTAAGTTGGTAAAAAACATTCTTTTGAGTACACCAGAAGCTCGCTACTGGCGTTTTTAAAATAACACTTTCTGTCTCTTATTATAAGCAACATAAAGTCTTCTTATAATTTCCTTCTTTTATACAATCATTATTACGAATTGTAGGCTGAATATAAGTTTTAAATATATTCAAATTTCAATAAAAATTAATTTTTAAAAAAATAACTTCATTCTTCAATTTTTTTTCAATCTAAATTATGTGTTAAAATAAACATTTTATTTCCAATAAATACAGAGTAATATCACTATTTTATCGTTGTAACTCAATTCATTGGTGTGTACTTTACGCGTAGATTGAAACATTTTACCCTGTTAACTTGAAAACAAAACATCACTAGAGGTTCTGTAAAGTATAAATCATACGAGTAAAATATAAAATGTAAACATGAAAGTTAGAAAGAATAACAGCAATGGAAAAAATCTTAAGGTTTATACCTAAAAGGTCATAAACATTTAAAATACCTCTCATTATATGCACGATAAAAAATTCAAATGATCAAATAACGGTAAAATGGCAGCCAGGGTGCCAGTACATTTTACCGTAAAATTTTAGGCTTTGATATACCATATTTTTACAGCATTCTGATATACTTGAATTTTCTAAACAAAAAAAAACTGATATACCGTAATTTTTATAGTAATGTTTATTGTAAAAGTTCGGAATCACCGTCAAAAGTACGGTACAAAATTTTCCGGTAAAAATGGACTTAATGGTAAGTGGGAATTTTTTGGATGCTGCACTCAGGGCACCAGTACTTTTGACTTGTAATTTGATCCTTAATTTTTTTACAGAGGGGAACATAATATTTAAGATAGAAAAGTATATTTTCGAAACTTAACAGTATTTTTAAGGCATACATAAATTGAGTTGTTGAAAAAAAATTCAATACTTTTTGAAAAGGCAAACAAATTTCATTCCTTTTTGAAAAAACAAATTAAAAATTTTTTATTTTTTTATTTTTTACAAGCCTGTTGAAATGCATTCTCCAATAAAAAATGCTATATTATTCAAAATGCGGGTCATAAAAAATTAAATAATAAGAAAAGAATGAAAAATAAAAACAACCACAACTAGAAATTTCAAAGAGAGGCATACAATCAAATTTAAAATAATTTATTTAAAATGCTGAGAGTAATTATGAAAAAACCTTAACAAAAACTTTAACGTAATACAATTTACAAATGAAAAGTTAAAGAAGAAAATTAACAAATGTAAGCCTGATTTACCGCTAGAACAGTTTCAAAATTCAGTTTGGGGGATACTAGAGCAGAATTAGAATCTAACTAACAAATTATAATTAACAAAAATGATATAAACTTTCAAAAAAAATTTTTTTCATCTAATCAACTTTTCTCTTAATGAGCGTTTAACATTTTATTCATAGTAAAGTTGGTAGCAAATATTTAAAATTAATAATTTTTGCTACAAACTGTTATTTTCTAACACATAAAACAACAAATAGTTTGGATCACGTAACTATCGCCAATTTTTGCCATGAATTTAATAGTTTAAAATAATCTGAAATCTTTGAATTAAATGACAAGAGTTATGATAGTACTAAATTTATTTAAATTGAAAGGTATATTGCATAAATAGTTAATATTTGGTGCGTGTAACATGTACAATATATCAATAGAATTCAGATTTAGGTGCAGCTAAACGGTATTGTGCCTATCTTTTGAGAAGTGCCCAAAAACATGAAATCAACAAAGAGTAATAAACTGTTTCAAAGATTCCATAAAATTTCTTCGGTTTGTAACTACTAAATTAGTAATTTTCTGTATCAACGCTCTGAAGACTATTTGCTTGCAACATACAAATTATTTATAGTTGGAGCAAAATTAAATCTTGTCCTTAAAGCACACGGAGAGAATTAATTTTGGTAAAATTACCGTACTATATGGTAAAGACATATCTGATAAAAAGAAAACAATATTCTGTTAATACAACCAAAATATCCGTTACTTATACCATTCATTTGGTAATTTTTCAATGCCTATGGTAAAAATTTACAGGAAATTCTGGCTTTCAAAATTATTCTTATTACCACACGTTTAGTAAAATATACAACCAAAATATACGTTACTTATACCATTCATTTGGTAATTTTTCCATGCCTATGGTAAAAATTTACAAGAAATCCTGGTTTTCAAAATTATTCTTATTACCACAAGTTTAGTAAAATATACATTACTGAAAAGTAAATTTAACCGAATAAATGATTTTTATGCCATGCTTTAAGAAATCATGATTAAACTATATAATTTTACTACATTTACTAAACTTTATCACATACTATAAAATATATATAATTGTTAATTTTACCAAAATCATTAAAAAAGCGTTCGGTGAAAATTACTTAGCTTTTTGGCGTTCCCATAGGCCAACGATGAATTTTATCATATTCTGTTAGTTTTGAATCTAGTTTTTTTTTTCTAGACTGCGAGTGGAAAGTTTAAAAAAGATTACAAAAATACTTCTGAAAAAGGGTTTGCTTTCTTATCTTAAAATGTCAGTAATTTTATTATTTTTGTGTAAAATGTATTATTCTAATTTTAATTATTATTATTTAGTAATAGTTTACTTGAAGCGCAAATTTTAAAACATAATTTTTATTAAAGCAACAAGAAGAAAAATATACATATGTTAAAGCAGATCTTTGCAACTAACATTGTTTTTTGTTTGTCAGCCAGAAGAAATTAGCTTCATATTTTCCTTGGAAAATGCTGTTTTAGACAATCTATAATTTTAAAGCTATTTCGAAGTAGACAAAAAAAACTGAGCTTACTATTTCTTAATCTTAAATTTTATATCTGTAGAAACTTTAGGCTTAATTAGTGAGTGATACTTGGGGTACCCTCTTCGACTTGTTGATTGACAACTCAGCGATTGAAAACTACAAGACAATGTCGAGTTTTATGTTTAGTTTTATGTATCAAAAGTAGCTCCAATTACAAGTAAAATCTATAAGGTAGAATTATTGTTTCTTTTATGAAATTTTTGAACCCGAACGAAGAAATTTTCACAACCATAAATAAATTTGATGAAATGGAAAACGAATAACCAAAATTTTTATCATAAATTGGAATAATTACAAGGTTGTTCTGCAGAAAATAAATTAATAAAGAAATAAAATGTTGTTTCTCTTTTTTCTTTTTCTTAACATATGCCACGCCCTAGAGATTTTCAATTACGTAGTTAATGCATTCAAATAAACTTTCATTAGTGATTAGTAATAATTACACTTTCTTCAAATTAGGAATAAGTACAATTTTTTTAAGTAAGTAGCAATTACACTTTCCAACAAATTACATTACAACCACGAATTACATTAAAATTTACTTGAAATTAATAGTAATTACACCTTTCATTATTCTGAAAGGAGTGTTAAGTACAAATATCATGGACTCATTGAGGAATACCTATTTATTTTAAAATAATGTCATTAATGTAATAAAAGATAAACGGGCAGAGAGTAACAGAATTTATCTGAACAGCCCTTCATATATGCTACGTCTCTTGGAGCATTGTCATGTACATTAAACTAGATAAAACGATAATTTTAAATCCTTTTTCAACAAGACAATGATAAGATTTTTAAAAGAATATAATAAATATGTCAGGGTGTTTAAAAATATTTTTTTAAACTTAAACGAATGAGTTGATACACACAAAAGAAATAGCTGTTAATTTTTGGCAGATTGAATTGGCAGCCCTCCACTGAAAGGAGTTATTTTGAAAGATTACACGAACACAGTTGTTAGTCTGCTGGAATATGATCAAGGAATATGTCAGTACTGTTAGAACGTCTGTATAGTTATTCACTGATAAGATCAATGAATCAACTTTAAAAAGAATGATTAATTTAAGAACAACTGCTAAATACTCAGTAAAAAAGGCCTAAATGTAAGATTCATAAGAACCCTAGTACTTAGTATAACGGTACTTCTTCTCTAAAAGTGGAAATTATATATTATTGTACAGGATCGAAAAAGTTTTCAATTTATTGTAAATACTTCACTGACTCTCCGGATGCTTTTCGTTAGTTAAGTGTTTATTGCAGGCCGATAAAAATAATTGAATCGAAGTGCAGTCTCAAGGATGCGTTCAGTGACAGAAAAAACAGCTGTACTTTATTCCTGGGCTTCTCCAGTGCAGTGTAGAGAAGTGGTTCCCAAATGGGGTTCCGCGGAATCCAAAGGTTCCGTAGTAAGGTTACAAGGGTTCTGAGAGGGATTCTTCTTAACTAGTAATTATAACTATATACAATCAATAACCCATAATTTATTTAATACTTCGCTTGTGTCTATGAGCTTATTTATGAAAACTATCGAAGAAAACAAAGCAAAATTTACAAAAAAAATAACAATATATTGAAATAATTATGAAGAGGGATGTGCATTTATAAAAAAAATAAGTATATCTCATCGAGCTTTTCAATTCAAAATTAAATGAATAAATTCAAGAATAAGGAATAACGTTTCTCTAATAACTATTCGACGTTTATAACAGTTCTTTTTTTAAACCATAATTCATTTAAGTTTATTCATTTTCAGTATATACCTACACCAAGGACAAATTTATATAATTAAATATTTCATTCGTTTCTTCCCATTAAATATTTTCAAAATAATTAGTTTTTCCTTCATTTTGGTTAGTATATTTTCAGCTAATATGGAACTTTTTTTTATCACATCAGGGTTCCACCAAAAAAAAAGCTTAATCATTTGGGGTTCCATGACCGAAGAGAATTGGTAACCACTAGTGTAGAGAAAGTATTTAAGATATGGATAATTTTTGACGTCATGCTTGCCTTAAGCATGACGTCAGATTAGATGAGCAAAAAATAACCTGCCGTAGAACTACTTAGCATTA